GGGTCCCAGGCTGCTCAGCATTTCAGTTGTTGTAATGCTACCGTGCTCATGCTGACGAGGAGTGCCCACCTTGGGTCTGGTTTGTAGTACTGTGTATGTAAATTACAGGAATTTGACTCTTGTTAGATGTGCAGAAGAGGGGTGCCCACCTCTTCTTCCTGGGTCACTGTTGGGTTTTTACTGCTGTCTGTATCCTCATTAGAAAGATTTAATCTCACTTCCTGGTCTTGAGACAACAGGAAGTGAGAGGAAATCTACCCCTAGGAAGGAAATTAATTCCTGTAAGAGTGATCATGGGAAAAAGGTGTCTTCACTGAAGCTTTATCACCAATCCTTGTTTCCATTACAGCCCAACATTTTCAAAATCCAATTGCCACATGGGCAGAAGTGATGTGGAATCTTCTGAACAGGGGCGCACACAGCAAAACAAATGTTACAGGGGGTTAACCCTTCCCTATGCTGTTGAAAACCAAACTAATGTTTTGGGCTGCCGTTACACTTAACAAATTTACCTGTTCCAACTTGCATACAAATTAAATTAAAAACAAACCTAAAGTCCCTTGTTTGTAACCCGGGGAATGTCTGCACAACGTTCACGCATACACACGGCTTCAAAGTATTTTTATAAATCTGTTTGGACTTCTATGTGGTGAAATCCGCCCATGTTACAAATATTCCTGCTTTCCAATAGCCACACAGAACATCTTGGGAACCTAAAAATGCTGCACTGCATGTATAATGTACTATTGCTGGCATTTGTTGTATTCCTATATAGCTGGTAGTATTCTGCATTGCACCGTATAATCATTATACAGCACACTGCAGAATACCACCAGCTATAGAGGACTACAAATCCCAGCAATAATAAATTATACAGCAACACCATCTACAGAGGACTACAAATCCCAGCAATAGTACATTATATACAGCGCAACGCAGAACACCACCAGCTACAGAGGAGTACAAATACCAGCAATCGTCCATTATATACAGCGCAACGCAGAACACCACCAGCTACAGAGGAGTACAAATCCCAGCAATAGTCCATTATAGCATAATGGACTATTGTTGGGATTTGTTGTACTCCTCTATAGCTGCTGGTATTCTGCGTTGCGCTGTATAATGTACTATTGCTGCAATTTGCTGTAGTCCTCTATAGCGGCTGGTATTCTGCATTGTGCCGCTGTATAATGGACTATATTGCACACCACACTTTCCCATAACGTCTTCCAGGACAGCATCACGAGATGGAATCTCCTCCCCCACACACAGGAAACACGTCACTTAATTTGCTTAAAAGACCCTCCTCTCCGCCACTCCCTCAGTCTTTTGTGTTTCCTCAGTCAAGCTGGGGAGCGCGTCACAGAACGCTGAGAGGGGCTTCCATGTGGTGATGCTGCCCGGGAAGTCTTGTTTATGGCCTGCCTGTGTAGGGCAGAGGGTGTAGGTTTGCCTACCTTGTGTGAGCCCCAGGGATTCTCCTAGCCTGCCAGGAATGAGGCCGGCTTCCTTTCCCCCTTCAGTGCCCAGGGCGGGCCGGGACCGGGAGGACGAAACCCCCTTGGCTGGTCAGGGGAATCGGTGGACCGCCGTTCAGAGGGGTCTGTCCGGTTATCAGGGCCTCGGGACGTGTTCCACGGCCAGACCGGGTGGCCGCGTACGTCACTTCCGGCGCGGGTACTCTTCAAGGCGGTAGGTTATATCTCAGACGCATCAGCAGAATCTGTGGGGACGTCGGCCAGATCTTCAGCCCTTATTAACTCTTCCCGCAGGGCCCTGTGGTTGAAAGCATGGGAGGGAGATGCGGCCTCAAAGCTGAGGTTATGCAATCTCCCATTTTCAGGTGACTTGCTTTTTGGGGCAGAGTTGGAGAATATTCTGGAGAGAATGGCTGACAAGAAAAAGGCTTTTCCAGAAAGGAAGAAAATGCCTTTTCGGAAATTTTTTCGCAACCAGAAGGGTAGGCCTCAGGAAAATAAAGGGGACAAGCTCAAGAAGCATTGGACGGGTCAGAAAGGTAAAGGCAGAGGGGGGATTCTGTTTAACACACCCTCCCAGCCTCAGCCAAAACCCCAATGACTATCTACTTCCAGTGGGAGGAAGATTGGAGGCGTTCAGTGGTCAAGGATTACCTCCAACCAGTTAATACTAGGCCTGATCAGGGAGGGTTACAAGCTAGAATTCAGCGGTATTCCTCCCACAAGGTTCTTAGTCACGCACCTCCCGCGTCAGGAAGAGAAGGCAAGGGCATTGTCGCTCTTGCTGGGGGATCTGGTGGACCAGAGAGTCATTTCCAGAGTTCCGGCTCCGGAAGAAGGGAAGGGGTTTTACTCTCAAAGAGGTTCAGGATGGAGTCAATCTTCTCTAAGAAACATCCTGCAGCCAGGAGCTTACATGGCGTCTCTGGATTTAAGAGATGCTTATCTCCATATCCCAATACACCCAGCTTTTCAGCAGTTGCTGAGACTAGCGGTAAGGATGGGACCAACTATTCACCACTTCTAGTTCAGGGCTCTGCCATTCGGTCTCTCGTCAGCACCTCAAATTTTTTCGAATGGTTGGGGGAGGCTCTGGTCCCGTTACGGTTGCAGGTAATAAATATCATTCCTTACCTAGACGATATCCTCCTGTCGGCACTCCGGGCAACTTCGAAGGGATTTAAGGGTGACCCAGGATTGGCTTCAGGGGCTGGGATGGATTTTGAATATCCAGAAATCCAACCTAGAACCTTCTCAGGTGATTGCTTATCTGAGGTACATCTTGGATTCCAACCAGCAGAGGATTTTCCTTCCTCAGGAGAAGGTGGTCAAAGTCTCCGCGGCAGTCAGTCGGCTTCAGTTGAGTCGGCCGGTGTCACTAAGAGTGGTGGCTTCGGTCATGGGTCTCATGATCGCTTGCCTGCCGGCGTTAAAGTGGGCTCGGTTCCACAAGAGACCTCTGCAACAGTTCTTCCTGAGAAACTGGAATCGCTTGCAAGATGGATTGGACGTTGCCCTTTCCCTCCCCCCCTCAGTAAAGAGAAGCCTGTGGTGGTGGAGAATTCATCCACACCTTCGGGCGGGTCTGGAGTGGAGTTCTCAAGCCTCCATACGCTTGAAATGAGGATCGGGTTGTCCTTCGGACAGACCCGGTTTTTCTGCCAAAGGTCGCTTCAAGGTGCAACAGGGTGCAGGAGATCATTCTACCTACATTCTGTCCCAAACCAGTAGGTAGCATCCGATTAATCGAACTTAATAATCGGTTAACTAATGGATTTTGAAAATAATCGTTAGTTGCAGCCCTACTTGTGATTAGTGGGATACCCCTTGCTCTGTGTCCAAGTTGTAGCATTGTCTTCATTCTTGATGTTTGGAGTGACCAGAGATTCCAGAACCATCACATTTCCCCAATAAATACACCAGAGAAATGCAGACGTCACACTAAACTCAACACTTTTTTATTTAATTTTTATTGGAAGGTGTCAAAATAATGAAGTTTTCTTTCATTAAACTTGTCAGTGGGCACTTTTTACAGACGCTCTATCCCACCTTGATATTCACCAAGCTAACTTCTAAATATTAGGACACATCACAAGTGCGCTTAACCTGCTCCTCCCATTGCAGAAGCCAACTCCAGCTACAATAAATAAAGATGTCTTCAGTTCCCTAACACTTGTAGAACCCCTCCCCCGCCCCTGCTCCCAGCTTCACTGCAATACTCACCTTCTCCCTGGCACTGCCACTCCACTTCCAGGTTGAGTGAGGCCTATTGTAATCCCTTTTTGTGAGCCCGGGGTACACTACGATTATGCTCAGGATTGGGGCAAATGTAGGAATGGACTTGAGGTGGGACCCTGTGATTTTCAATCAAAGAAGTTTTCAGCAATGTACAGAGTGTGGCCAGATGTTTTAATGGGAGCTAACGTAGGCGCGAGGATGAGGTCCAGCTGGTAAGTACCTGAAATCCCCCTGCTTGTGTGCTGTGGAGGAGCGGTGCAATTTTTGAGTGTCCCGATCCGTCGGTAACACCCACGCTTGGCTTACGGTGAAACGCGGCATAGAACAGTGCTCCCATGTCACAATGTGATTGCCTTTACATGCAGCCGGTGCAGCCGTTGCAGCCGTTACAGCCGCCAATGCCGGAGAAGACAGCAAGAGCACCACCCATCAAGTGATTAGTTGGAAGACCCGTGGACTTAAAGTGTGTGTTCTTAAAATGAAGGTGAGCAGAAGGGGAAACACAGGAGTTAGGCTTTAACCCCTTAATGACCAAGGCCTTTAAAAAAAACAAACAACAATTTGCACCCATGTTACAATCCACATTTTAGGGACCGAAAATTACTTCAAACACCCAAACATTATCATGGTTATTCACAAAAAGGGTGAAGAGTTTTGAGAAGGCAGGAGAAGTGAACAATCTAGGACAAAACAGGTGATTTGGAAAAAGTCTCCAATTCAGCTCACTTTCTAGTTCAGCTATTGTGGCCTAGAATGTTCACTTCTCCTTCCTTCTCCTAACACTTCACCCTTTTGTGAATAACCCTGTATATATTGTCTGAAAGCCAAGACCCTGCCGACAGTCGGCTTTACAAATGCAAACAGAAAGCCGATGGGAGTAATATGTGACGTAATATGTCCCCGGTCACTAAGGGGTTAATTCCAGTTTGCTTTAAGGGTGCAGCTCTTTAGTGGTTTGTTTTCTGTCACTAATTGTAATAAAAAGAGACCACTAAGCAAAAGAACTCACACGGAGGATTGAAACAGGTTATTATGTTTTATCAGGTAATAAGCCAATAGTAGTAAGGTACTTGGTCAGCAACAATGTTTAGGTAGGTGGTACGTGTCAAAGTAAGATCCCCATGATTAGCAGGACCCAAGGTTTCCCCAACAGAACATTGCCCAAAGCATCACACTCCCACCGCCGACTAGCCTTCTTCCCATAGTGCATGCTGGTGCCATCTCTTCCCCAGGTAATGTGATTCAACAGGCCAGGCCGCCTTCCATTGCTCTGTGGTCCAGATTGGATGCTCACGTGCCCATTGCAGGTGCTTTGGGTGGTGGACACAGGTCTGCATGGGCTCTCTGACTGGTCCGCGGCTATGCAGCCCCATACGCAACAAACGGCAATGCACTGGCTTTTCAAACATCTTTCTATTGGAACCAGCATTAGGTTTTTCAGGAATTTGAGTCACAGTAGCTCTTCTATTGGATCGGACTACACAAGCCAGCCTTCACTCCCCTTCTTTGGACCACTTTTGGTAGGTGCTGACTAGGTGGTCACTGTAGACCAAGAAGAAGCCACTGACAAGCCTCCTATGTGATAGCATATCAGTGGTGACAGGTACTCTTTTAGGTGACATTAGGGGTTTAATAGACCCCTAGTGTCATCTTTCCACTTCAAAGCAGCTATTCAAGTGCAGATCCCGCTTGAATAGCTTCTTCCCTGGCTTCTCTAGCCAGGGAATGACAGCTGAGGAGACAGAAGTGATGCAATCAGCAACGTTTCTGGCTCCATTCAGGGGGGAGGAGATCTGAATGTTCGCTGGTCTCTCTCTCCTCGTCGACACCCATGATGCTGGTCCCAGGCCTGGGGGAGGGGTTTGCACTCTTCACCAGCCCCGGGAAGCGATCTGGCAGCAGCTCAGCCAACACAATCCCAGTGTAAAGCTGACAGTGGGCTTCACACATTAAAAAGCGTCCCTGCGGCTAGTCTGTGTTACAGAGAACCACTGCCATCGACGTACGGCAGCAAAAGGGTTAAAGGTCAGGTATAGTAAAATGTTTATTTATGCAAAATAAATAAAGTTAATATAAACAATTTTAACATAAGTTACCAAACTGAAATAAGTCTACATATAAGAAGTTCAGACTTTACTTTCTGCACTCTTATTCTGAGTTAATAAATCAATTCGTACTAAAGCCAGAGTCAGCCAGAAACCAGGCATTTTCAGAAGGATAAGGGCTAGTTCACACCAGCCCCAGTGCTTCCGGCCTGATTCGGTGCCGGAACAGATTGGATCGCATCCCGACCAGCTCACTGCATTCTGGGGCAGGAGGTTGTGTGGCGGTGCATTGAAGTCAATGGCACCGCAGCCACCCCGCCCGGCCGCAGTGCGAACACGTGGCACATTAGCCGCCTCCCATCCATGACCGTTCCTGAACAGCCGGACGGGAGCCTTAAAGGAGCAGGAGGGCGCCGCCCCCCCCTGCGGGTCACTAGGTGACATTAGGGGTCTTGGAGACCTGTCATGTGAATTGGCTATCACATAGGGGATTTCTTATCTCCCTATGTGATAGCAATAAAGTTAAGTGTAAAAAATAAATAAATTCAAACATAAAAAAATAAAGAAGTTTAAAAAAAGTCAAAAAAAAAAATTTAAAAAAAAGTAAAAAAAAAAAAAAAAAAAAAATGTTAAATAATTCCCCCGCCCTCTCCACATACACACGTAAACATGAGTCGGGTGTGCCTACTTGCAAATACGACAATTCTGCCTATTGTTCTGCACATGTTACATATTGTCAGAGTGAGAGCAATAATTCTAGGGCCATCAATCACTGATAACACTAAACGGATGAGCAGTAAAAACTTTTAAAGCATGCCTATGGCCAATTTTGGGTGTGGTCGACTTCTGCGTTTTCACAGGTGCGCACAATTCTAAGGCTTGACATGTTTGGTGTCTATTTTCCGGACATGACCCCGTATTTTATATTTTGCAAAAAAATTGGGGTGATAATAAATGTTTCATAACATTTCATAGGGAAACAGGTTTTTTTCCCCAAAATTTAGGGTACTTTTGTTGTGATATAGTAATAAATAAAACCCCCAGTGGGGATTAAATACCACCAAAAGAAATCTCTATCTGTCCCCAAAAAATGGTATAAAATGCATTTCAGTACAGCATTGCATGACGGAATAAATGTCAGTCAAAGTACCGCAGCGCTGAATACTGAAACATGGACTGGACAGGAAGGGGGTTTAACACCGTGCTCTTTAAGTGGTTAATGCAGTGAGCCGGCCTGGATGCGATCCTCCGAATCAGGCCGCACTGAACTGGGACTGGTGTGAACTAACCATAAGACTAATCGTAAACATCATCGGTTTGTTGCATCTGACACACAAACTCTGGTCATACTGTCAATACATTTCCTGTGTAGTAAAGATGCTGAACTTAAAAACAAATGCAATCATTCCCAACAAAGATGGACACAAACTCTAACTCATATATGATCTGTGTAGGTAACATTTTTTGGCAAGTTTTGTCCACCACTTTTAATGGCAGCTGTATAGCGGGCATCTGTCCGTCTTTTTATTGCTTGGGATAGTCTCTTTGATATCTTTGTTCTCTTCGGTTCTTCTATGTAATCAAGCTCATTTAATTCTAGTTCACGGCCAAAAAGTTCAACCTAAAAGCAGAAAACATTCCCCATTTCATTGCTCTTTGTAGGAGAAGAGGTGAAGAATAATTAAACAATATTCCTTCTTTTATATCGGAAATTATTCTGTGACACTGAAAGTAGACCTACACTTCAAATCTAAAGTAATGAGAAGTCACATAGAATTCCTGATTAGAAGCAGCAATGTGCTTTCACTTGTGACAGTGCCTAGGTACGCTTTATTATTCTGGCCTCACAGGTCCTTGTCAGGACTTTGGCATATTCAGAAGACATATCCTGCCTCAGGAGTCATCATAGGATTGCATTATATGGTGTCATTGGGGTTGGGGGTTCTACGAATAAGACTTGTTTTCTTTCAAAACTGACATCTCACAATGTTCGAAGGATCAGTTTGCCTTAGTCTAGGTCTGCTTCAAGCTCCTTAGCCATGGAAAATGAATACAATATAAAAGGGAATACCAGCAGGCATTACAATTATTTTGTATTTTGTTTTCGATTATATAGCTCTCAAAAGCAGTTCAGTTCACTTAAAGTGGAAGTGAAGTGAAATAAAAAATGGCTGGGAGGTAGGGATTTTTTGGGACAGGTGCTGTGTGCGATTGCACGCAGCAGCCTGTTGTTCCCTATGGGAGGACGCGGCCATACGCTGACATATGCACATCTGAACTGCACGTCCGTGTGGGTCCGGGTGTCCATACTTGGATGCAGACAGGATCCATCCTTTCTGAGTCCAAGTACGGACACTCGGACCCGCACGGATGTGCGTACGTCCGCGTCCTCCCATGGAGAAGAACAGGCTACTGCGTGCAATCACACGCAGCACCTATCCCTCTCTGGAACAGCCCGATACGTCCGTGCACGCTGCACAGATCTGTACGGCCCGACTCTACACTGTGTGGATGAGGCCTTACTACCGTGTTTCCCCGAAAGTAAGACCTACCCCGAAAATAAGACCTAGTAGCCCCCTGCCCGCCCACCTGTCTGGCTCCATACACGGCATTAGGGCAGAGAGCGGCCGCAGCTCCGTACCACCCCCCCACCAGGCACGCCTCCCCGCACGCCCACCTGTCTGGCTCCCTGGACGGCATTACAGCTGAGAGTGGCCGCAGCTCCCTCCCTCCCACACGCCCATCCGCACGCACGAGCAAACAGCTGCAGCCAGGTACACATAAGACACCCCCCGAAAATAAGACCTAGTGTCTTTTTTTGTGAAAAAAAAAATATAAGACACTGTCTTATTTTCGGGGAAACACGGTATGTGTGGTCACACACTTACTGTGTGGTTTGCCCTACTATGTAAGTGTGCTGGGTAAAAACAAAAAATATCAAAGCGATTTATTTCCACTTTAACTTTTTCCAGCAAAACTTTGTTTCAGCCGAACGATATTTGGTAAAACCCCTTCCTTTCAGAAGTCTAACAATGGTCTTACGGGCCACCAGTGCCACCGCCTAGTCATGCAGGACCAGGGAGGAGATGTAAATATAAACAATGTGTAACCTGCAGCGGCGTTGCAGGCGCAGGATCATCCCGGCCTTTAGTTATGTAGAATGACTGCTTGCTGAGGTAATTTTGCGAATGTTTATTGAAGGACACAACCGGATCCTTAGGATCTTGACCAACGGGTTTACTTTTGTAGGTGGCAATATAAACCCATATGGGGAAGATCCTAAGGTTCCTGCTGTGTCCTTCAACTTTTTGGTGAGTACAAATATCCTCTTCCATTCATTGAGTCGTTCTCTAAGCAGGGTCACAGGTGTAGAATAAGATTGGTAATCAGTCATTGTGAATGAATACCTTTGTACATAGTATGCATCTCAACTCTATACATGTCTGTATGAGTTGTGATACACTACAGACCACTTTTTAAGCAGGATCTTGCCAGCTTTGTGCCAGAAACACCCTGCATACATTTCTACGCCAGTGTGCATAAGCCCTTATTGATAATCTAATTATTTGTTGGCAGACAAAATAACCATAGCTAGGGCTTGGAAAACGCCAACAATTCCATTCCACTTGGTCAAAAAATGTTGTGGATTATGGTCCATGAGAAACTTCACAGCATCCTCCAAGATACTAAAAAATACTTTGAATTGACCTGGACCCCCTGGTTGTTATATACAGGGGTGCTGGAAACCGGGTAATTTCCATTGTACAATTTTTCTGGAATTTTTCTCTGGGGACTATGTTTAATGTTTAAGTAGATGTTGGGCTATTTGGTCGGGGGTTGGAGCTACTCTTTTCGGACTCTTAAGCTGTTCTGCTTCCTTTAGTATCTATTTCCTTTTCCTCTTTTTGTCTGTTTTTCTTTTCTTTATGCTCGCACACGTGAGCTGTTTAGTAAATTGATGTTGGACAGAAAGTCTTCTATTTATATAGATATGGAGGAGATCATAACAACTTTTTGCTTCAGACATAGGCGGATTCCTATGCCAGATATTCCTCTCAGACTGATAAATTGGCAAGAATAGGTGAATAGGTGGATAGATATGTTCTGTTTTACAGAACTATTATATATTGTGTGTATGGCTTCTAGTGATCCCCTCCTACTACTTGACTATGCTAATGTGGAAGAATCTGAAATGCAATTGTATGCTTTACTGATTGTGCATTATGTGCTATTTTATTGTTGTATTCTACTTTGGAAAATTAATAAAATACTTTGAATGATAATCTAATTAGTAGTACTTTGATGTTCTTAAGCTACAATTGAGGTGACTGCTTAATATGCACTGAAAGTGCATATAAAATCTGTTACCTGCAAAGAAGAAAGTAAACACTTACCTCTTCTGCCTCCTGTGCCTCCCAACACTGCTCCGTTGAAGAGAAATCAGCATTAAAAATGCATTCCAGTACCTGAACTATTAACATAAAATGTATCTTATTTGTGTATCACTCAGCTGTAGATCCTCAAATCATCTCTGAATTTGTGCTTACACTGTCCTTCCTTCTGGAGGGTGGCTACTTTTGTTCCCCATGGTTCCTGTGTGTGTTGTAAAGTAGTCACCATTCCAAGCTCACTCCCATTATGATCAAAAAAAACAAAGCGCTAAAGGTAGCTGTATGGGCAAAAGAATAAGCTATAATTGATTCTGGCGAGGTCAGTATGGAAGCTAATATATAAGTATAAAACAGGACTAGCTTCATAAACAAGTATAGATAAAACCAGTCTAACCAAAATACAAAAATCAATTAGAACCACTAAAATTCATTCCGATGGAATAAATAAACAAACAATGTTTAAAACGTCAAAATCAGTGTCCAATGCTTAAAAAATCCAAGTGAAAAACTTGGATTTTTTAAGCATTGGACACTGATTTTGACGTTTTAAACATTGTTTGTTTATTTATTCCATCGGAATGAATTTTAGTGGTTCTAATTGATTTTTGTATTTTGGTTAGACTGGTTTTATCTATACTTGTTTATGAAGCTAGTCCTGTTTTATACTTATATATTAGCTTCCATACTGACCTCGCCAGAATCAATTTTAGCTTATTCTTTTGCCCATACAGCTACCTTTAGCGCTTTGTTTTTTTTTGATCATACTAGGTTCCACCTTTTTTCAGAGCAGCTTGTGGTATAATTATTCACATTTATTCTTACTTTAATAATTTAATTAATTTAATTTATTACTAAATTTTATTTTTCCAGAAGCGCAGATTTATTTGTTTACATTCACTCCCATTATGGACTACAATCTCAAGTGTAGTTTACTCATTTGTATTGAGATCGTAGTCCATCACGGGGGGTGTGTCTCTCTTCTGACTCAGTTGGGTGTATGTAATATCACTCCTGTGATGGACTATAGTCTCACATTTTGTTTAATAATTTGTATTGAGATTGTAGTCCATCATGGGAGTGATCTTGGAGCGCTGGCTAGTTTACAACACACACACAGGGACCATGGGGAACAAAAGTAGCCACCCTCTAGAACACGTGTCAAACTCAAGGCCTGGTGGGCCGAATCCGGTCCACCAGGCTATTTCCCAGACTTCTACTTTCAGATCTAGGTATTAAGTTATTACTAAAACCAGTGATAATCGAATGCAGAGGCAATTATGATAGAGATTAGATACATTTATATAGTCTTACAGATACCTTTGAGGGCAACCATAATGTTGATGCGGCCCACGATTAAATTGAGTTTGACACCCCTTCTAGAGCTGTGTCGAATTGCGTTTGACACAGCTCTAGAAGGAAGGACAGTGTCGGCACCAATTCAGAGATGATTTGAGGATCTACAGCTGAGTGCTATACAAATAAGATACATTTTGGTTAACAGTTATGGTACTTGAATGCATTTATAAGGTTTAACTCCTGAGTTTGTCACTGTAAATCGCCTGAGGACCGCCAAATGTTCACAAATTTCTACTCTTGAGCAAATGGGCCTCTTCTGGGATCAATCTTGAACATGACAGACCAATTCACTAGTCTTTGTTTGGCACCAATGGCATCATACCCCCATATATAATATACAGAGCAGTATCTAGTATGTACATCATAAACATAGCTTACCTCTGCATTCTTAACATCCTCTTTATAGTTCTTCTGGTGTTTTCTTGTAATTCCATTTAAAGTATCTTTTTCTGCTACAGTCCGGCCATTAATAACTATGAAAATAACAGTTAAATTACAAAAATAGCTTAAAGGAATTTAAACTTTCCACTTTTTTAGAAATAAGCATGGAACTGCTATGTTTATTTTTCCCTAGTTAGTAACGCTGTCATATTTAAGGCTGAATTCCGAGCAAATAGCTTCATACACAGAAGACATACATATATGGGAACTTTTTAGCCCTGCCAAAGGATTTGTATTTCTGTCCACACAGTTGAGAAATGTATACAGCTCTGCTACACAGCAAAGTCATGTATGACTAGAGACCTGATTTTTCTCTGCTGCAGTTTCACTTTCGCTTAGGCCTCATTCACACGGGGCTTTTATGTCCGACTGCCGATTCCTGCGATGATTCCATGCAGCTGTGATTGCTCAGGCTGCACAAAGCAATGACAGGCCTATCTGACGTTATCCGCATGTATTCACACATCCATTGGTTACTCGCGGCTAGGGACAGATGTCTGACCCTGGACAGCTGGCTCTGCCTCTAGATAAGCAGAGCTAGCTGTCAATCAGTCAGCTGGGTGGATCTCATCAGTATTGTTGGGATCTGTCCCGGCTGCTGCGCTCTCAGTATATAGCAGGCTATATACTGAGCTTTGGGTCAGGAGAGGAGATTAGTATATGTAATCCCATGACCCTAAAGAGAACTAAGGGGAAAAACACTTACCCCATAGTTCTCCTTTAATGGTCTATTAATTAATACAGACAGGGCTGGAAATCACCTGTGTCTTTTTTTATCTACTGGGAGTTCAGCTTTAAAGGGACACATCTTCTTTTTTGTTGCCTTCACTTTTTTAATCATTTATAATATTGTTATAGATGTCTATAGTTATATTCTGTATATTTTATATATTTGGAGGAACAGATATCTTACTCCATCATATCAGAAATATGCAGAAAGCAAAACGATGACCATACACACGCTGATTTTTGGCACAATCTAATAAAGTTTTGTTGAATATTCAAAGAACACTCAACTCCTGTTTTATGAAGTTAACAACATTGCATCATTCTAGGTAAAAATATATGAAGGGCAGAATTAGGAGATTAAAATGATTTGAACTTCTTGGACAATCATTATATGCAGGCATTGTTTAGCATTCAGGGCAATTATATTCTAATTCTAAGCCATTGTTTTTCTACCTTTATTTACTCACAACACCCTTTAAAAATATGCAAAGTCTTGGGGCACCCAAGTCTAAAATGTAAAATATGATGTGTGGCTCTCCAAAATCCATACAAGACCCTTATTCAAGATAGGGGTCTGGTATGAATTTATGGGGGGGGGGGGACTCCATGCCGAAAAAGTTGGGTTCTCCTCACATCAGAGTCCCCCCTGCAAATTGAGAGCCCCTTTATATTAGAGTCCCCCTTTCACATCAGAGTTCACCCTTGTACATCTAAGTCCCCCTTTACATCAGGAGTCCCCCTTTCATTAGGAGCCCCCTTCACATCAGAAGCCAGCTCCACCTTTACATCAGAGCCCCCTTTCACATCAGAAGCCCTCTTCACATCAGAGCCCCCACTTTTACATGCCAATCCCCCTTTCACATCAGAAGCCCACTTTATATTAGAGCCCTCAGTCTCTACCTTAACATCAGAGTCCTACCATCATATCAGGAGCTGCAGATGCGCAGCAAGGCCGAGGGCAGGAGGTGGAGCAGGCCTGGATGGAGGTGAACGTTCAATCTTTTCTGAGTGGATCCCCCCCACCCTGGATTAACGTAATTTGTTCCCATGAAAGTTATGACACTGACAATTTTAAGCCATCACTGAGGAAGCCATAAGGTATCCTGGTGAAAACGGCTGGTCCAAACTATGTTTGCTACTATTTAAGGCTGAAATAATGCGAACGTCACATAAAAGCAGCAAAATGGGTTACTCTTTGTTTATTTATGTTCATTTCAATAAAGAATATTTTTTGAATATTTAAAAATACTTATTGAGTGTTACCAAACCAGCAGAACATTGTTATATGAATTGTCTGTGCTCCTTGTGTTTCCTTGACCACAGTATTGGGGCAGAGCATGTTTAAAAGCCACAATGAAAACTGCTTCTCCTATAGTTATATTGTAAAAAGGTTCCTTTTAAGTAAACAATAGGATGTTATTGCATGTTTACGGTAGCCCCAAAGCGAGACTACTTTCTTGGGGAACAAAAGATTGGAAATAAGGGAAGACATTAAACAAGCACTATTTGTCATTGTAAGTTCAAATCCATACCACAATTTTTTTATAAGGATGGATGTACAGATAATAAAAAGATGCCTATGTATATATTTTATATGCATGTATCTACTGTATCCCATATATTTTACTTTGTGGATAATCATGCCCTTTTATTGTCTGTGTTTGTCATAATAACCAATGTAACCAATTTTTCTATACCATGTTTTACACAATGCTGGTTTCTCAGGGCACAGCAACAAAGCACACAGATAGTGTCATTCAATTACTAGTCCTGTATCCAGGGGCGTCCCAGACTGGATACCGGGTGAAACCCTGCTGTGACATCATTGCGCATGTGCATGACGTCATGTGCGGTCACCTTTGTGATACCTGCCGGCGGCCATCTTGGTGATGGACGCCGCCAGAGAAAGGAAGGGACGTTCAACCGGCGGGGTAAGGTATGCAGCCGGGTCCCCTCCTCTCTCTTGCAACTGTCGGGCTCTCGGTCCATGACCGAGTGCCTGACTTTTTAGAGGGGGTGACGCCAAAATGACTGTTAGTCATTTTGGCGTCACCCCTCCAATGGTGTCACCCGGGTGCATACCGCACCCCCCACACCCCCCTTGTGACGCCACTGCCTGTATCCAGGCCACGACTTCAGGATCAGTCACATTGTACAACTAGTACACAAGCAATATACACAATGGCCACTGGGTGTCACTGTTGCTACACAAAGTCTTTTCCTTCTAGCATAGATTGCTGTAAACTGCCTGTATCATAATTGCTTTTCTACAACGTGATAAAATTCAGTCTTACACATATCTGCAGATTCCATCATGTGCTTTAACAGGTCAAACACCACAGTATTGGCTGTTTTTCCACTGACTTCTTTAATAGCGGGACGTGTCCCTGGAATAAAAAAGCAAACTATGTGAGTATCATAGATTGGAAAAGACTCCATAAAGGAGTTGCTAGAAACAATTTGGAATTAACATGTCAAGTTGTTTTACAAACCAGCGTCCAGTCCAGGAGATGATGGCGTGGCTGTTAGCCTTCTCTGTGGAGGGGTCTGTGAACTCAATGAAGGGGGGGGAGCCATTACACTGGAACAGAAAATATTGTAAGACTTAGGCCTCATTCACATCGGCAACATGTGCCAAGAATCAGCAGATTTCTGTGGCTGGGATTATAGGTGGTTGCTAACAGCCGCGGCTGGGAGGCCTGCACAAAGCAATGACAGGCGGACAGGAGACGCAGCTGTCCCCTGCTGTTCGCTCATCCAGAGGTATCTGCAGCTAGGGACAGATAACCAGCCCTGGACTCAATCTCTTTGTGTCTAGGGACAGTCATCTGTCTCTAATCATATGTTACCACTGGTTGGCAGATACTTACGAACAGTGATGGACAGCTAAGGAGAGCTGCAGGGCCCATCAACCTGTCATTGGTTTGTACAGGTTTCCCGGCCACAGTTGTTCATGACCATCTGTGGTTCCATCCTCAAGAATCCACAGATTCCAGCCATAGGAATTTAGACCTGCAAATGAGGCCGTGTAGGTCCTTGTTCAGGCATTTCCAGTTCTGGGATGACAAAGCTAATATTGCTTTGCCACACCGTCACTTAGACTTCTGATGGAGATTACAAGTGGCTGTTTAAACAAACATCATACAAGCAATGGCCACTCTTGTCACCATCACGAATTCAACCCCGAGAAATACTATGCAGCCCATGTTGGGGTGCACGTAGACAGGAAAAAGCATGGCAATTGTTTATGACACACAGAACTTTAGAAAACGTCTACTTGCATTCTAATGCTGTGTGAAAGGGATCACACAAATAGGGCTGTTGCACACGGCTGCAAGGGGGCCGTACAGCATACATCCGAATGTAGTTCTCTTGCCGGGAGTGACAGGTGCACCGTACTGCTGTGTGCAGCCAGCCTGTACAAATCAATGATAGGCTCGATTAAAACTTGGCTGTACGAGTATGTACACAAATCCCACTGCTTACATGTGTACCAGGACTTCTGCCTTGCACTAAATGCGGAGGTCCAGGGTAGTGCATAAGACCCGGTATGCATGTGAACAGTGGTATTGGCATACATACCCATACATCGCGTCTTCAGCCAGCATGTCATTTTTTAAGCACTTGTCACTCCTGGCAAGAGAAATACACTATGGTGTGCGCTGTATGGCTTTCTTGCGACCGGGCTGGCTCATTTTCATTTTAGACAATACCCTACTAAGCTCGGGCCATTGTCTTACTACTGTATTTTAGCTCAGTGGGCATTAGTAACACACAGCGGGCACTACATTCTAACGCTTGTGTGTATGGGGCATTAAGCTGACAATACACAAGGCAATTGCAAGTCAATTTCAGCCACTTTTGATCCCCTGCAATTGTGAATATGATTGAAAGTAATTGCCAGAAGCTAAGCAACCTAGCAGACACAAGTTTCATCTGTCACTAGAATTTGGTTAATTGTGAAGTTTAGCAGACTGAGTTAAAATAGAATTCAAATGAGATAAGCAATTAGATTTCTGTTTGATTGGAAGAATGGAATTCCCATCATCAATATCCTTAATTGCCATTTCCATCAGTTCATGTCTGCAACTGCTGTGCAGGTTGACCAAAAAATTAAATTGAAGGTTCAATCACTTTATCAAATTGCCTTGTGTATGGCCAGCGTTAGGCAAAACACAGTTATAAAACCTCAAATGTCAGGTGATATGAACACAAACTTTTCAGTCCTCCCCCCCCCACCACACACACAGTTCTCTTAAAAATGCTTTTCAGGCTTTTTTCTGCATGAAGCCCAGCAGGTACATTGAACCACTCATAGACATGAATAGCGTGGCTGTATGTGGGTATACGCCACTACTCGCATAAACCCAGACATAGCATATGGGCATATTCCACAAATGCAAACTATCTCTGTTCAGTGAATATGTCCATACTATATATGCAGGTTTACACGAGTACAGCACACACAGACATTCATGTCTATGGGCAGCTGTACGCACTACTTGGCCTTTTCAGGCCCAGGAATAAGCCCAAATTTTTGCATTGCATTTCCCAATGCGCCTGTGTGCATGAGCCCTTATTATTTTGTATCAAATATTATCAAATATTCATGTATTGTAGAGTGTGTAACACATACCCTATGTCACTAATCATCACTGAACAAAGTACCGTGACAATCCATAAGATGCCAAAGGCAGATGCTGAATTTCTAACTGAGCATGGTATTACCTTTCTATGGAGTGTCCACCAAAAGACATCTAAAACAGAGAAATCAATATGTGAACTGCTTGTTGTCACTGCGTAACCTAGGTCTACCCTATACAGATACAATGACCAAATACACATTGTAAGTTTAAACATCTATTATACAAATCCAGTAAGTATACTATATTTACAAATGTGCAGCATTCAAGTTAATAGCATAGCTAAAAATATTTAATCTGCCACTAAGTTGTAAGCCACCCCTTGAAAGTAAACAAGTCTTGTACTGTAGAACAATAGTAGTCAACTTTTCTTTCCGGGAAAACCCAATTGTTTGTTGTTTAATTTTAACACATTTTAACGCAAGGATTTTTCTTAGAAAACACCATTTCAGGTTCTTACCTGCTCCTGTTTTATAGATATTGAGACAGGCCATGCTAAGGTTATCATTAGTCCCTGTTTCCCAGGGACTGTCCCCGTTAAGAGAGGTCGATACCAGGAAACAAATATCCTTGGCGGCCTCCCCGGCAGCAGTAAACTGCAGTCATATACAGCCAGTTTTGTACATGCTGTGATGGCTGCCCCTAGGACCCTGCATCACTTACTACTGACCACTGAACCCTGTATTGATACTGAACCCTGTATTACTTACTACTGAGCTCTGAACTCTGCGTTACTCGCTACTGTCCCCTTCTCATGAATTACCTACTGTTGACCCCTGTACTCCATGCCTTACCTACTCCTGACCCCTGTACTCCATGCGTTTTTTGCTCCTGACCACTTTATTCAATGTGTTCCTATTCTTGACCCTTGTACTCCTTGCGTTTCATGCTCCGGACCTCTTTACTTCATGTGTTACCTGCTCCTGACCACTAAACTCTGTATGTTACGTACTCCTGATTCCTGCTCTCTGATCCATGTAATCCTGACCCCTGTGTTCTGTACTACATACTCCTGCACTCCATTCGTTACACATTCTTGAACCCTGAAGTCCGTCCATTACACACTCCTGATCCCTGCACTCTGTGTGTTACACATGCTTGACCCATACTAGAGTGGGCTCAGGGTTTATTTAACCATGCATCTTCAGCCACTCGCTCTGTTAGCGCAATTTGACTGCAAGCATGATTTGCTGCATTGTTTCACTTTGTCTTTACATCTCCAATGTCTGCTTCCTCTCCCAGAAATCCATGATCAATTGTTTTAAGGTATGCTAAAAATGGGGGTTTAATTTTGTGGGTGTGCGTACAAATGGTGATGTAGTTTATAGGCGTGGTTACAAGTGGGCGTAGTCCGTAGTGTTTCCCCGGATTTTATTTTGAAAGTCTGGTCACTTTAGACCATGCCAACACACTTGCTGAAAGCCAGTGAATAATGAAAGGCACTGCCTACTACAATCACACGAGCAGTGATCGTGATTGTATTTAAAAAATAACATCTGTAATGCAATTTTGATTGCATTTTCTTAGTAAAAGTTTAATATAAACAGCAAACATGCTGATAGTGTTACTATTTTTCTTTTGCTCCAATTTTTATGAAAACACTTCAGCTACATTTCAACTGCTTGTTTTCAAGCTTCCATTCATGACCAGAATTCAGGATTAAATAATATTTTGCAGTTTATTCTTAGGTCACTGAATCACTCCCTCTGTGCCCCTTCTGGTGTTTGGAAGTTAAAGAAAATATTGAAAGCGGAAAAGAAAATTTAACTCTTGGGGCGCTACAACTCCAAGGAAATCACAGAATTGGCTGTATTTAGACAGTAATTCTAAGCATAGGTTCAGGGAGGTCCCATCATTTCTACAATGTTGTCTACCAGAGCTGTAGATATTCCATTAGTTTTATGACTTTAATACTAGAATATAGATCTAACATAGACTGGGTGGCGGTGGGGATTGGGTATGCATCCAAAGCAAAGCAATGGAGCAGCAGGCCCTCATGAAATGCTGGACAGTAATGTTTTGCCTATTTTGGACAAGTCTTTTGGTGGGAAACCTAACATATACCATGTAGGGTGAAGGCGGATATCAACAAAAAAATGAATAAACTAGGTTTTCATTATGATTTGGATTAATGTTATCAATTAGCACAACTAGTAAAGAGACAATATCCTTATGATATCTCCAGCAGATATTAGATCCGCTGGTATATGGCACGTAAGGTCTTAGATATGTTCTAACATTGAAACCAGATGTTGAATTGGTACTCCTTGTAAAGCATACATATTGCTTGCTTGTGTCCAGGGAGGTTGTCAGAAGATGGAAGTGCATGAGAGGGAGTTCTTCCCTAGTATTTATTTCCCATGCCCTTATGTAAGGGTGCAGAAGATCGGATCTGAAGAAAGGAAGTTATGGACTATGTCAGAGATAAGACCTTTCTGAGTAGAGCCCTGCCTACAAGACAGCACTTCAAAGGGGTGTCTAGGTCCTTGTAAAGGGAAGAGGCATAATCTATAAATACAAATGATGTCAATAAAGTGCTGGCTGTAGAAAACTGGAACTTGTCTTTGCATTGCCTTCAGACATATTTAGTGATAATCATAGAATTTTTAATATTTTCAATTGTACTTCAAATCACTGAGCTTTAATGGATTAAAGCAATCTAAATGTTTTCTACTCCAACTGAAATTGTAGAATGGGATTTTAGAAGCCTGGGATGAGCTGTAATACTTTGCAGAGACCAGTAAAACTATTTCAACTCGATATGTAAATGTCAAAGTACTGCTTCAGGAAATCCTGTTTATAGTTTTGCACAAAATCAAGGCAACTACTTGGATTTCCTTAGAATCTTTAATAGAGGTCTTATCTGGCAGTGTTTTGAATACATATATTTGGTCAAGTAGTGTCCTCCTTACCTTGTTGATTGCCAGTCAAGACCTGGTACTAGCACACAAGCAGTTTATTGTTGGTACCTCAAATCTGTATACTTGTACGGCCAGGTCAGTGACTCATTAAGTAGTATGGAAAGGATAAAGATGACATCACAGAAGCATGTGCCCTTAACAGCAGGCGAGTAATGGCAGCTCCCATATCTATGTACTGATAGGTTCCCTTTGTTATAGTCAAATAAAACATTATTGGAAATAAAGTAAAGCTGCTGTAATTTCAAAATGGAAAAACAGGAATGAGTTAATATTCCCGGAATAAATATATCAAATACACTTTTTTCCTTTCTTTTTCTACAATTTGAATGTATTTCCTGAGATTATTGCAGTATAGAGTGTTTGATTTAATAATGATTGATCTTTTACCCTTCTTTGCTGCAACAGCCTTCGGATTTCACTTTGTAAGTCATTTATCTGCTTAGTTGCCCTCTTCTCTAATTCATAATTCTGCTGCTGTTCCTGGTAGAAAAGAACAAAATGAACAGAAATGTTAAGTATACAATAAAGAAAATAGGCATCTTTGGTTTTCAATAAGCACATTCAGGGACTATTCAGGGATACATGCCAATGGACCTTTATAGTTTTAAAACACATTAAATTGCACTACAGGTGATCCAGCCACATAGGAGAGAATCTCTACTAAAAGTTAATTCACATGCATTAAAATGTATGTGTCTTATTACAGGAAATGGCCATGAGATAATAGGCCCTAAATGAGGGTTCAAGAGAACGAGATGCATGCCTGGTGTTCCTTTAGCAACCTACAGACATAAGAGAATGGTACCCCAGTCCTGCTGTTTATGGTAGTATCAGGGAATAATAGTACGTCTGCAAGACCTCCCTGATGTCCCCCTTGAGGGAAACAGTTGATCATATGGGATGTATTGATCTGACTAGTTGCTATTTCTTTCTCACTCATTAGACAAACTGTTGCTTGGCCTCTCCTGTCCCAGCTCAGGTGAAACAAATGTACACTCATGTCTTATGTGAGCATCCATCTTCGTACAACAATTTATTGTGAATACAATTTTTTAGTGGCCAGATCATGTATGCATGCCCAGTTGCCCTCAAGTAGTTGCGAGCACCTTTACCACCATTGATGTCACAAGTATCTGGTAAATGGACAGGCTGTCTCACTGCATAGTGACAGCAACATTTTATGCATTACTTTCTTTGTATTATTCCATAATACCATCCATAAAACCTCAGAAAAATCCAAAGCTTATTTGTCCTCATGTAGGACTGACAAGGAGTTGATTTGCTAAAGCAATGTATAAATATATTTTCAATTATCTTTGTGAGTATTAACTTCTGCCAATCATCAAGTGCAGAAATGTACTATTTTTTTTAAAGCAGCTGGAGATGACTGGATATTTGGTAAATCACCCTTATGAAATGAATCAATATATGAGTCAAACCTGTTTGAGTCGATTTTCAAGATCGGATCTCTCCTTTTCAAATCTTCTCCTTGCATCTTCCAGCAGTCTGTTCAATCTTTCTTCCTCTTGTCTATATTACAAAAATATGAATATTAATGAGCACTAATATGAGTAATACTGGCTCAAAAAATGAACAATATAATTAATCAATAAAACCGCGCTTAGGTGTAATGAAAAAATAATCGGTATCAGCTGCAATGCTACCAAGTGAATTACTATCAAATGTTGAATGTCGGCACACAAGTTGCTATATTTCTATGAAAACAATTGTTTTATATATACACACGGATTTTGATATTACACATTGACACTTTATATATTTGAGGTTTGAAGTTTTTAAGGTTTAGCGCAGTGCATTGACATTCAAAAATGAATAATAGCTGACCAAATAAGTGCCATATGTTTTAAAAGCTGACTGCTTTAGAGTAATCACTGACATTTGTTTGGCCTAGCAGATTTCATAGGAGCAGCAACCAGGGTCCTAGTAATTGCTAGTGAACTGGACTGAAGGAATTATGGCACCCCTCTGCAAGATTCTGCTTCTATCTTCTGCCTCGCTTCTGTTAGCCAGTTACCTGGTTCTTCCACTTGTTTTAACATTGTTATACTTAATACTTTGGATCCAATAACAATAGAGATGTCCCAAAACTTTGACTGCATCTAAAGCTATCAAAGTAATAGAGCATAAAAACCCAAACACAAGAAGAATTGGGCAAATTAAAAGCAGCAGCTGGCATTGAGGGTTGGAGGATGGTCAGCCATGCCTGTGAGCATTGGCACAGGAACAGAGACAACAAGCGGGGCTGTAGGGGCTAGGTAGCCTGCATTAAGAACTGCTGCATCTATATCACTGACTTTTGAAATCGCTACAAGCTGCCTCCATCAAGTGTTGATTTCTTGTCTGTAGACTGATGTTCTATGAGATAATGTCCTGGTATGAAGGTCATTGGATTTTGTTCTTTAACGCTTCAATTAAAGCAACCCAACTGTCACTTAACTGGAATAAAGAATCTGATCACAAGTAAAAGTAAAATGCAGGCATTTAGTGGTGCTTGCACATACTTTCAGTAGTTTCTAAGTCCCGCCATTACCACGGAATGCAGGGCTATTGTGACAAGCAAAGCACTGATACTTCCTGGTAGTGTTGACTCTTGCTAGTTCCCTGCTAGCTCATTGCTGATATGGGATGTCTCACTGGGCTATAGATAGGAAGAGACGGGAAAGCTTTAACATTACCAGGAAGTGCAGGAGCTTTGCCCGTAACGGCAACCTGATATTCAGGTGGATACTGGGAGTGGGAAGCTGCTGCAGGTATTTGAAGCACCTCTTGTAGCCTGCACTTTAAACCTGGTAGAAATGTTTTCTTGTTTAGTGACAGAGTTACTTTAACTCTAACCCTTTCCATCTCTGCTTTAGAAAATATTTTATTACGGTCCATAACCCAGTTGGAGAGATTTTGACTTCCTGTCTCAAGTGTGTCAGGCAACCTATGTAAAGGTGCCCATACACCTTGCGATTATCGTAAGATAATCGCGGGAAATCCATGATTTTGCGGGAAGGCGTGCAACTGTTTCTACTGTACTGTCGCACGTCTTTTGTCGAACCAGCATGCTAGAAAACCCGCCGAGAATCGTACGATTGTCGGTGGGTTTCTAGCCTGCTCGTTCGACAACTGCGGAACGGGCCAGTGTGCGCACGCGCACACTGCCCGTTCGGCATTGCGGTCATCGGAAGCCCGCCCCTCAGCGCGACGGGCTTTCTATGATCGCAGGTACGATCTGCCTGTCCAAGATGGGCAGATCGTACGAGCTTTTAATTAGCTTACAACCATCGCAAGACAAAAGTCTTGCGATGGTTGTAAGGTGTATGGGCACCTTAAGATTATCAGTCTGTGTTGCTATCTGTAGCTCTAGCCTTCAGCTGTGACATAATTAATCTGGCCACAGTGTTTTGCAGCCTGAACGCTGGCTGCAGTTTTTCCTCTCAGCTGTGGAGTAATGCATCTGCCTTAGGGCCCCAGCCGGGACTGGCCTGTGTCTATGGAGGCGCTGTATTTAAACATCATCAGCCTGTGCCTCAGTGCTTGTGATAGCGTTTCCTGGCTGATTAACTACGCTCCTGTTTGTTTTGATACTGGACTGACCTTGGCTACATATTTTGGATTCTTGTCTGCTACCTGCCCCAACCTTTCGCTATGATTACTGGATTCCTCTTCTTCTTCAGCTCTCACCTTCCATTGCCTATGGTACATTTACCTCTGCGGGTTTGTAGTGAAATCTACGGCCACAAAATATAGTTAATATCCTTGGGGCATCTGAGTATCAATATGGGCACTAGCCTCAGAACTAGGTGTTTGAATACGCAACCTTACACAGTGATCACATGGGAATAAGGGAAAATCTATCAATATTCGATTCTAATCCTTCCACACTCCAAAAGTCCAAAGACTGCCCAAAAGTAAAAGAAGGCTTAACCCTCCCCTGACCTTAAATATTTACCTACCGGTAGTACAAGTTAAAAAAAGACCGACAGTATGTGCATCAAATTCCACGTCTAACAACAGTTTTGTTCTAGAGATACAGAAAACAAAACCTCAAAGAGTAAGTGCAAGTTTTTTCCATAAAAGGAGAATCCTGACCCTCCAAGGGAAGTCTGATCATTTCCATATTATTCTTTAGTAATTACATCTGTTGCCAGTTTTAGCTGTAAGCATTCATTCAGCTTCTTTGTAAATAAACATCATTTGGTCTTCTATAACTACCTCCTGCTGTCAACAATTCCGCAGCTTAATCTCTTTTAGGGATAGTGTCAATGTGCAAATACATCATGCTTTTGGGTGCATAAAGCTTGCATTTGAGATCAGTTTGAGATGCCTCTGAGATCATTTAGAAATCATTGACAGCAACATTTGACCTGCAGTTGACCTCCTTCTGACCTGTAGTTGACCTCCTTCTGACCTACAGTTGACCTCCTTCTGACCTGCATATAACTCCTTTTGGTCTGCCATTAACTGATTTGGAAAGAAAATCAATTTATTAGAGGACAGAGGCCAATGTTAGGGAAAATCATCTTGCTTCCATGCCCAATTCATATTTTCTTTTGGACAGGTCTTAGGATTAAAGGTGTATTTGTGAAATCTTCACACATGCCATTGCAGCTGGTGTTGGCAAACAGGGGCAGTGGTGACATCACTCCTTCAGTTATAGAACAGTGCTTGAGTCTAGTGATTGGCTTTTTCAAAATGAACCTATTTGTTTTTTCTAAAATATAACTCTAATGAAGATGCTCCATTCTGTTTGTTGCCCACTTATGGGCTCTTTCCGAATCCAAAGCTTCTTTATCATTTTTAACAGTGTAGTGACAGCAGCGTACCCCACATTCTAGATGTGAACATACAAGTGATTTATGTAAACTGGTGTTCAGAACCTAAAGCAAAGAGGCTAAATTAAAAGGGGGTACAGACTGTGTGTGTGTGTTGGGGGATCTGTCTTGTTTTAAGGCTAGGTTCACACCTCAGCGACACCTCACCACGCGGCAATCATGCGCGATGCTGCGCGGTCAGGAGTCGCCAAGGTGTGAACCAATCGCGTTGTGAGTGCCCTTATTTTCTAATGGCACTCCAGTGGCGCCCGGCGGATCTCGGGGTTTGCCGCCGCGATTCTGCCTGTGCTTCCGAAAACAAAAACAGCCGCGCATCGCAAAATAAAGGTACTTGTACCTTTTTTTCTGCGATTGCCGCGCGGATGTCACACTATTGAAATCAATGGGGCCGTGCGTCAATCGCTGCCTGCATTGTACTGGACCGCGCAATCCCGGGACGCGCGTCCCGGGTGTTGTGCGGTGTAGTGCAGGTGTGAACCTAGCCTCAAGACTTTATAGGTCTAATGGCCAGCCATTTAAATAAGTGACTGATTTTCCTGATGTCCCTTCATGTACACAGAAGTAATCACATTCAGCTATCTCACTAAGGCTTCTTTGAATCTCTTACCTTTCTACTGTGGTTGGCGATAAATGCTGTATCAGATAACAATAAGAAAGTCAAGCACTTATTTGTTTAGACAGCCTCTTAGGGATATTAAACTGTCCTACAGTTTAATATCCCTAAGAGGGATGACACCTACTAAATAGTGTTACTGGATGACACTATGCCTTTTAATTTAGTTTTTTTGCTGTGAGAGATATAGATAGGAGGCCATTGCAGACCTCCGAATGAAAATTCTAGCTGCCTGGCTGTTATGCTAATCTGCTTGCATTAGGGCTTTTTTAGTTACTGACATGGAGAAACACAACGGGTCAGCTTGAAAGCCAAGCAGCTAGCATTTTCAGGAGAACCGCTCAGTAGAGGCAGCATCCATGTTTTTCTCTTGACAGGTTTCCATTTATAATGCTTACATTTTATGTAGGTGTTTAATTGTTCTAAACATTTGTTTTTTCAGCATTTTGGAACCCTAGAAGATGTGGGCTCCAATACACAACCTGGGTGCTCCATAAACACATTGAGATTCCCATGTGGAATCTTCACCCACTGGCTGTGTATCTGCTTCAAACTGGCAGAAGTCCAGTCACATAACAAGAGAAATTACAAATTGGCCAATTAGGAAGTTTCACAGCCTTATACATGATTGTAAAAAAAAGCCTTCATCCAAACATCTAACAGTGATATAATGCTTCTCTTTCTTTTGATAGCTGCTGTTTTAAGAATGCCTCTGGCAAACATAATATATATAGAGAGTCAGGTGCTCTGTACTAACAGGTGTAATAAGCAACATTCTCCGTTTGCCCTAAGGGTAATCTGTCATATAAGCAGATTTCTGTCTCAACTGCTTCTTTGATCCTCCTATAGCTTTGGGCACTCTCTGACTTGCAGTGAAACTGAATTTGTACAGGCCCTGGAAGTAAGAGAATGGCTTTTGTTGAAATCTATAATGTAAGCTAAAACCTATCACCATAAACTAAACTAACTGCATGACTGTACAGAAGGCACCTACATCAACTACATATCTTCATAGAAAGCACTTGCCCAAATTTTTAGATTTCTTCTTAAAGTCCTGGAAGCCTCAAAAATTTGGGGAGTTCTGTTCTTTTCATGTAGAGCATAAAATGATGAGCTTCAGCTTGACCCATCTATTCTCTCACTCCTTGCTATCAGTCTGATACAGTTATGGACGGCCTCAGTAACCATTATGGAGGTATGGAAAGCAGGATATGCACAGGAACCTGTAGGTGACTTCTATACATCCATGTCCTTAGTTTAAGGTGATCATTTTTGGTATTAATGATTTATAGTATATTTTAGGGATGCACCGATACCGATACAAGCATCGGTATCGGCCGCGATACCGAGTATTTGCATGAGTACTCGTACTCGTGCAAATGCTCTGATATCTAAAACGAGTACCTGTGTCCGCCATCTTCCACCGCCGCACACAGCACACAGGACCGCGTCTGCATTCATTCAAGATGGCCGCGATCTCCTTCTCCACGGGCGAACGGCCGAAAGCAGACTCCGCCTCCAATTCCTCTGTCCTCACTCGTGATTGGTGGGGAAGCCTGTCAATCATCCAATTGGCCAATCAGCATGAGAAGAGGCCAGCATTGACAGATGACCTGCTGTGACACGAGGGGATGAAGCAGACGGAGACGACGGAGAAGAAGGTTAGCAGCACTGCTGGGGCTGGGCACAGGATGGGGGGTGGGCACAGGATGGCCTCAAAAGTTATATTTGCCTGCTGTAGGTTTATAAATGTAAAAAAAAATGCACTACTTCTTGCTATTGTATTTGGATGAGGCAAATCATGGATGAGGCAGAGCACATGTCCAGACCAGAACACTGTAGTGCATAATGCATTGCATATAGTGTGGAACAGTTATATTTATTTCTGCACACCTGGCTGTATATTAAATTTGTCAATGTATAATATACAGCCAGGTATGCAGAATTAGATATAAAAATGTGATCTGCCCCTTTAAGAAAAAGTATCGGTAATTGGTATCGGCGAGTACTTAAAAAAAAAAGTATCGGTACTCGTACTCAGACCAAAAAAAGTGGTATCGGTGCATCCCTAGTATATTTAAAGTCAATCTGTTCTTTGCCAATGTAAGGCAAAGCAAGAGGTTCACTTAAGTGCAGACCTCCACAGATGCTTACAAAATACCTTCTTTTGCTCCCCCACCACTGTCATAGAACAAGTCACATGCTCTTTAATACCTGGAAGTACCAGGTATTTCCTTCAGCTCCTAGCACTAATGAGAGACGCGGCAGTATTCTGATACCTGCCGGCAACCATCTTGATGATGGACGCCGGCAGAGAGAGAAGGGGACATTCACCCGGCGGGATAAGGTATGCTGCCGGGTCCGCTCCTCTCTCCTGATACTGTCGGGCATTCGGTCCATGACATCGCCCGACTTTTCAGAGGGGGGTGACACCAAAATGACTCACAGTCATTTTTCCAATGGTGTCACCTGGGTGCGTACCGCACCCCCTGCGTCCCCCTTGTGACGCCACTGTATCTGGGGTCGGGTGGGGAGCAAAGCAAATGCTTTGTTTTGCCTTGAAAGTGCAAAGCAAAGGTTTGCTTTAAGGAGAAGTGAAGGCATTGTCCATAGCATCCAACAAGAGATATGCTTTGAACAACTTTACCTTCTTTCATAATAATTCTGTTGATTTAATTCAAATGTATTCCTTCTCTGAGTATCTTTCTGTCAGTAGCTCTTTTGATTTGCTTAATATTAAAATGTTTTTCACCTTCTTTGCTCCTCTTCATGCTGACGTCTTATCTGTTCCTCTATCTGTTCCTTCTCTGCAGCTTGTCTTCTCAGTAATTCCCGTTCTTCTCTGCAATTTCACAAATAGTGAGAGACACAAAGTCAACAGCAATGACATTTTTATGACTAATAGGCTGACATATTGATCGACCTTTATGTCCTTAGCCTGGAATCTTTTATGTATACTGATAATAAGGCTAAGATCATTTTATTTTCAGAAAACTTTCTTTATAGCTTTTCCTGTTTTTTATTCTGAACACTTTAACAAAGGCATTTTACCGTGTAGATATAATTTCATTAGCTTCAGATTCTTGGCCGCAGAGAAATACATTTACCTCGCTTTTCGTCTATCTTGTGGCCTTGTCCTTAAAGGTGTCATCACTTTTGAAATATAATTCCAATGTGAAGTAGCTGCAAAAATAAATAAATCTATTTATGCAGAAATCCAGGATTACTAAATAGTCACAATCCTAGCTGTATACAGTGTATAACATGTATTTGTTGTTGATGGTTATCCTAGCTGATACAGTATATAACCCTTATTTGTTAGTGGTTATCCTAGTATTACAGAGTATATAACCCTTGTTTGTTAGTGGTTATCCTAGCTGTATACAGTATATAACCCCTATTTGTTGGTGGTTATCCTAGCTGTATACAGTATATAACCCCTATTTGTTGGTGGTTATCCTAGTATTACACAATATATAACCCGTATTTGTTGGTGGTGTTTATTCTAGCTACCGGTATATACAACATATAAGATGTATTTGCCATTAGTGGTTATCTTAGCTGTACACAATATATAACATGTATTTTCCATTGGTGGTTACCCTAGCTGTACACAGTATATAACATGTATTTGCTGTTGGTGGTTATTCTAGCTGTACACAGTATATAACATGTATGTTGGTGGTTATCCTAGCTGTATACAATATATAACCTGTATTTGTTGGTGGTTTTCCTAGCTGCATAGAGTATATAACCTGTATATGAATTGGTGGTAATCCCAGCTGTATGCAGTATATAACCTGTATTTGTTGTTGTGGATATCCTAGCTGTATACAGTATATAACCTGTACATGCCATTGCTGGTTATCCTAGCTATACAGAATAAAACATGTATTTGCAGTTGGTGGTTATCCTAGCTGTATACAATATACTGTATAACCTCTATTTGCTGTTGGTTATCCTATCTATATTCAGTTTATAACATGCACCGTATTTGATGTTGGTGGTTATCCTAGCTATACACAACATATAATATATACAACACATAGGATGTATTTGTTTGTTGGTGGTCATTTTAGCTGTATACATTATATAACCTGCATTTGTTGTTGGCGGTTATCCTAGCTGTATACAGTATATAACCTGTATAGCTCAAGTCCAGCAAAAGTAGGGACGAGTAGGGAAGGGTAAGACTCTGTCAAACTTGTATTGCTGTCCATTCTGTTTTTTTAAACAATTGTCACATAGGAATAGGTCGCCCGGGGCCTAAACCTTTATTTTGCAACTTGTTTTTGTATGATTTCAATTATATGAACTGATTGTACCTTAGGATTTAATTTCCATGTTGGTGGTTAGTTGGTTGTCTGATCCTAACTTTTTTCCCAGTTGTCAAATTGATTGCAAATACGATTGTTTTTATAATTTTATGACCACCATTACATATTTAATTTATTTTATATTGTGGGGAAAACACTAGGAAGTGCTGGAACACCCAGAAGTGGACAGGAATACCAAGCTTCTCCCAGGTGGACAGGCATATACTTTTTAAGTTTAGACATTGCTTTGGAGTATTCAGGACACATGTGCACTTCATAAAGAAGCTAGCGGCTGACTTAGCCCACCAGGCCACCACCAATTATAAATAAAAAAATATTTTTGGGTATACAGAACCTTTTGCAATGAAGACTATCAATATATTTTAAATGTATAAAATTATTATTTTTTCTGCATTTTTAATGTCTCTACCCCTCATACACCTGTAGCGATAACTCCCTGTAAGGAGCCGCTGTGTGCCCGGTCCTCATCTAGTCAGTCTAGGGGTTGATTTCCAGCCACACCCATTAGCACTAACCGCCCATAAATTGATGTCCACTTCAGTATTATGATGCTAATTGAACAGTTTATTGAACATGTTCTGTGGGAGAGAGGGTATAGGGGTTCTGAATGTCTAGGGCGACCATTAACAACTCCAGACTCACCAGACCTTGCCATAACGGTGATGCAGATTCACAATCTAGGAAAGGAACACTGACCCTGTTCTGAAGCCCACATAAATCCAGGGCACTTCAAGAACCTGCGCTTGTCCTGGTTCCTTCCATCTCTCAGTCCTCCTCCATGTTGGAGGCCTCAGGGAAACCTCTTTCCCCAGTTCATCCAATGCCCACCCCCAGGCCTCGGCCCAGCATGGGGGGCAGGCTGAACAGGACCCAGCCTTAATCCATGGCTGGTCCAGGCAAGAGAGCTAGCACATGGCACCCCCACCAATATATGTACACTTTGTCAGCAGGCCCCACTGGCTGCAAGAAGCCCAGTAACAGACTGCTGCACTGTACACACATTACAGTGTCACCTATTGGCTGTCCCACAATGTGAAAGAGTCCCACTCCGCCCAGGGGCACAGACAAGGTCAGACACCTGGGAATTAACCATGTACTTGCTGCTACAAATCCAGCCAGGCTGTCTACAGCCCTGGCATATCACTAAATGCATGGTAATCACATCACAAAAGGTGATGGGCACTACACACCCTAAAATTTTATAAGGCCCCAGGTACCTAAAAAGAAATCCAGCTTAATATGTGAATAAGCGCATAGCATAATTTCTGCATATAGCTCAATCAATGTCCGCTCATGTCTGTACCTTGTGTTGGATCATGTACTGGAATCTGGCTGTTCTCTCCTTTGTTTAGTGCATTGAAGAGATCCTGGTAAAAATGTTTATTTATCACCATCTGAAATTCTTGGATAGACAAGGCTGGTCCACCCATCTTAAGTGCTGCTTCTATTTCACTGGGCTGAAATATAAAACAAACATTTTGACTGATTAAATGACAGTGTAGGAAACCCAATAGTACTGCAGTATGGTGACTTTTGTAGATATATAGCTCTATTTTTTCTGCCTCTGCTTCCCTACTGTCAGCACAAATGTCCAGAATGAAAACTTTTTATAGCCTTTATGTCCTGTATATCTACATATCAACCATCAACCAAACCAAGGACCATAAAGGGTGCTGGAGGCAGCAGGAACTAAGCTTTTTCCAAACTGACAAGCCAAGGTAGATACATGATTCCCTTTTCAAGCTATGAGATGTCTACTGCTGTGCTTACTCAAGGTTCAGCTCTGAAAACTAGGCATGGCCTTTCAAATTGCCCCAAATATCCACTATATAGAAAGGGAACACAAAAATGTTTATTCCCTGCAGTCTAGTAGATGCTTCATAGACATAGATGGGGAAAACATGCTTAGAGCTTAAATGAAACAGCAAACTCAGTCTGTCACAGCCCTTGCAGGGAGAACTCGGATTTCAGGGGAATGCAGTAGGAATTAATGGCTTCTCTGCTTTTTAAGAACTTTAGGCCAGATGTAATATGTGAGTGTAGCTTTATTATGTGAGGCTGCATAATAATAATTTGAATAATTGTAATAGTAATAATAATAATTATACTATTGTTGTAATAATATTTAAAGGAGATGCCTACTTTAAGGCAGTTCTGTTTGATTGCATGCTTATATGAAGTGAATAAAGTAATGTGTATTCAGACAGATGGGTACTGAGCACTACAGAAGGGCAAGCAGGCTTTAAAACTACTGGTTAGTAACCACTAATCTACATCTTGCCTGCAGCTTGCCATTTACAGTTTTATGAAATATAATACCATTCTACTGAGACAGTACATATTCTCATATTTACAGGTTATGCAGACTGACAGTCAGCAGGTAGTACTTACTGAACTGCACCGAATGAGATGACTTTGGAGCAGCAAGAGAAAGGTCAAGCCAAGAGCTGGCAGGCAATTATAACTCGGTTCATCCAGTCCAAGAATGTACTGGTCCCACACATACAGCAATGTATTCATGTTCAGATACCCTGCAACAAAGCAAGGTGTTTGCTCAAAAATATAGTTTGTATTATTAGGTATTGCTTAACCTTTAATCCATTAGAAACATTTATGTAGTCTGGTGCCGCAAGTTAGATGGTATTGTGCAGTAATATAATTATATGCTAGGTTTACAGAAAATGTATATACTGTAATATGAGGTTATGTTAGTTTGCTAATTCTATTTTCTGATTGTGAGCTACAGAAGTACCTGCACACCTAAGGTTACTACTTACAGGTCAGCTCCTCACAGCCGAGGATAAACCTCCAAGGGCCCATTCACATCTTGGTGTTTTTTAGCTTTCCCTTAGCGACATTCAAAGGTTACTTCACAGAAATAACCGATACCTATCAAGACTGTTGATAAATTTTATCAAGTCTTGATAGGTATCGGTTATTTCCATGTGGTAACCTCTGAATGTCGCTCCCAGAGGGAATAAGAAATAATCAGCCATTTCATGCCCCTAACTTCATTCAGGGCCATTTAGATCAGTAATAAGAGATAGTAAAGGTGCCTTGCGATGTTTGCAAGGTAATTAAAAAAACGTACGATCTGCCCATCTTGGACAGGCAGATCATACTTGCGATCATCGCAAGCCCGCCCCCCTGAGGGGCAGGCTTCCGACGAGCGCAATGCTGAACGGGCAGTTTGCGCTTGCGCACACCAGCCCGTGCTGCAATTATCTTACGAGCATGCCACAAACCAGCCGAAAATCGTACGATTCGCGACTGGTTTTCGAACATGTTCGTAAAACAAAAGTCGTGCAACCTTACAGTAGAAACGGTCGCACGCCTTTCACACACCTTGCGATTATCATACGATTGCGGGATTTCCCACGATTATCGTACGATAATCGCAAGGTGTGTGCGCACCTTTAGAGATAGCGTCTCTTATTAAGCAAAATGTGGAAGTGACAGGCTGAGGCTTCATGACAGGTAAAACGAAGGCTTAATACGAGCCGTGGTCCTGTGGACGTATAGATGAGCATAGGCTGATGGGCTAGCGCTAACCAAATGGGAGATGCCACGTCACGTGAGAGAATACTTCTGATTGGTTAATTTTCAATCTTAAGCCCTAGTCTCTGGCAGGGCAAATTACGTTTCTGACAAAGGGTGCGTGCCCCTGAAATGCGTAAACCAACCAAGGCAAATCCCGGTGAGGGAAGTCAGGAGAGACTGACGATTGCCATGCTTGCTAAAAAAGCAAAATTCCCTCTTGAAAAATCCATGGTGACAGTTTGATAATGTGCCAAACAGAGTTCTATATACACTTGTGAGTATATTTTAAACGTTTGTGTATCCCTAATAAATAATTCTACACATGGACGCGGTGCTCTGTTTTCTGTTCTTTTGCATATGGTGAAGAGAATCCCTAATCTCTGTGATGAGCAGCCCCTCAGTCGATAAGGATTAAAAGATTCTGCAGGAGATGGCATGAAGCATTTAGCGCTGAGACAATCTTCTCTCTTTATTTACAGGTGTGTTTCATATTATAATACTGAAGTTTACAAAAGCATCATTGCACCCAATGGCTAGACCTTGCAATATGCTTTAGATAATATATCATTTTTGTCTTTGGAATATAGGGAAAATAGGAAATATTTTTGTCAGTCATATACAAAGTCGACATGTAAAAGACTTTGTGTGGAGTCCCTCTATGTCCATGAGTATTGGAAACACAATGAAGCTTAAACTGTAGAGTGGTCCCTTAGTATCAATGAGGAAGCCTTTGATCCTGTCCAGGTCTGTACAGCTTTCAGGAAACCATAATGCTGGCATCACCATCACCTAGTGGATTCTCTATAGTGATAAATGAAAAATGCATTACAGAGAGGGCCCAAGACGTTTAACACATTGCAGAAACCTGTTTCCCAAAAGTAGGATCAAGGTAGGAGAGATTTTTCTTCTGGAGTCAGGGACAGCAGTAGCAGAATCAACCATGCCTTACTCTGCTACAGAGCACTGGGTTTAGTCCCATGTTTAAGGGACCATTCACACCACATGCATGGAACAACGGCCAGTGCATCCCCAATGCAAGACAAGGCAATTTGCCTTGTTACAGATGGGCACCTTTCTACCTCTTGTTGCGATGGGAACGCAGTGGTGTGCGCTGAAAAAAAAGTACAGCATGCCTTTTTTTCAGCACAGTGGGATGCGATGCGGTACAACCCCCTTGTACCCCCAGTGCCTGTAGAACTGAATGAAATGTCACTTGTGCATCGGCACTGTGTTAGGCACCACACACCAGCTGAAATCCCATGAGGTATTGAAAGAAGAAGCAGTTTCACCACAGCTGGAGTGTCTTACCACACTCAGGAACACCGCTGCCCAAAATATGTGAAATCTCAACTCCTGTGTTCATTTCAGATGTGTTCTCTCTTCTGAGGTCAGGTAACACATGATTCAGGCCACAATCTAATTTTGGCTTTTTTCAATAAGATATTGATGGATTCCTACCGACAAAGAAGACTTGGAAGACAGGCTGTAATATCCTCTGCATGGCAAGTGTCAAGGCATATTCTGGATCCTCAGCTGTATCACAAAGAACAAAAATAATTACTTATAATAATATACGTTTAATGGTTTGTCTGTTATGAGTGATTGATGCTCAGAGAGCAACCAAACCTAAAAGTAACTGTTTTCATAGATTGCTGAAAAAAAGGAATAGAAGAGTATTATTGCCTGTAACAACAACTATGAATTAATGAGAGTTTAGGGCGGCAATGGCAGTTTACAGAAAATAACGATTTTTTAATAAATACATCGAATATATTCATTGCTTTATTATGAACCAACTCTGTGGATAAGTAATAAAAAAAAAGCTCAGCTCTAAAGAAAAAAAATTCAGAGCGTTGAAATACGATATTATAATTTTTAAGATTGTGTAGTGATCATGCTGACTTTATGCATTTGCTGTGTTGTGTTGTTTAGCAATCCTAAATAAGTTATAAATCATTATGTAGGTAGGCAGCTTGGGGCCCTCCCATGTTGTTGGGTCCTATAGAAGTTGCATGGTTTGCTATGGCTATAGTTATTTCCTAGTCCAAGTACAATCAGGGTATACATCAAGTCCTGCCCTATATAACAACTAGTTAGAGACCAATAAAGAGTGTGCCACAAGTCTGAAGAGGAAATTAATGTATTTGCCACACATGGGACTTTAGGGTATGTGAATATGGGTTTGTAATCACTGGTCATTTGTATGTGTTTGGATGACATTCTATTTGTCATTATAGTGGAAATTAATTTCTGTAGTAAATACCTGTACAGTTTACACTACCTCATTGATCTTGCACTAAGCATGCCCAACTGGAACACACAGAGGTTAGGTTCTTTTAGCTCAAGTTGAAACTGATCGGTAGCTAGCTCAGTAGAGTTTAATCTATATTTTTGCTGCCCAGTAATGGTGTTAAATGTAATTATTTTCTATGTTTTTTTAAATTATTTTTATAGCATTCCCTGATATTGACAGCAAATGCAGGGCAGCAGAGGGAGTCCAGTGGTCACTGTGTGCAGAAGCCCCTGCAAATGAGACCAGTGCAGCTAGTTGTCCCCATTGGAAGGTTTCCACCATCATGTTATGTCTCAGTGACAGTGGTTCCAAAAACACATAAAGCGTTGAATCCCAGTGGAGAGACAGCAGTAAAATTTGTATACACTACCCAAAACTAAAAGAAAAGTTTTGGCTTTACATAAACTTTATCTGTAATTAGGCTTTATTGATGGCCATATCATTTTCATATTTATAATAGATAAATAACAACCACTAAAACTATATAAAACTGCACTTTAATACCCACCGTGCGAAGTATAGAGATTCTGGACTGCATGTGCCAAATTTGGGTCTATTTTTTCTAAAGACAATGCAATGGACTGGAAAGCTTCATTATCATTAGTTCCATCCTGGTTGACAGAAAACATTTAGGGTATGTCAAAGCAAAATAGGAAACACACATACTTACTACAACACATGCACATTTCCCCATGTTTTAGCTATTTAAACATGCAGCAAGGACAGATAAATATCTGTTCATGTGCCAGAAATATAGTGTGCTCCAACCTCGTTCTTTGACATGACAACATACTGTAGCTCTTAATTCCAAAGCTTGTGTTGTCAGCTCTGCCTACCTCATTTTTAATGGATTACAAAGGATAAAGACCTCTCCACATCTCCTCCCCTCTCCTCATCTGCCTAACCCCTCCTTGTACACAGGAACAGAGCACAGGAAGTTATCAGCTCACAGGATTTCTGACCGAATTAATGGGTATTAGTTGCACTTATTGAACAGATATAACAAAATGCTTTCAATAGTATATTTAGCAGGCCAAAAGGAGGCAAGGGGGGTAGGGGGGATCCCCATGCCAACATCAGCAAGGTCAAGGAAAGGCAAGAAGACTACAAATATTTCATGTAATCTGTGAAGTGTAAAAATTGTTCCTATTAGAACCAAGTCTGCAAAAATTCTTCAGATCTATCTTTCAAAGTTGAGATGAAGGTCTCCGTATCCCTGATCTTATTTACTCTGGCAAACCACAGACCCACCATGGGGTGTCTTGTTTGTTTTCAAGTGCTTGGGATGCATGTCTGGGCAGCATTCAGCAAATGAAGTAATACCAATTTCCTGTACCCTTTCCTGGACAACAGTGTCAGGTTTAACAGGATCACAGCCAGATCATCAGACAGGGTAATGCCCAGCAGTTGTGTAATAATTTTTGTGGCCTGTTGCCAAAAGGCCCAATCAGAGACAATTCCCCAAAAATGTGCAGAAGGTTACCTCTGTTTAAAAAGCAATGCCAGCATTTGGCGTTCTGCTAGGAAAAGAGTTAACGAAGACAGAGGGGGTTCTATACCAACATGTCATGATTTTGTATGTGATCTCTTGATACTTATTACATATGGAGGCCATATGGGCAAAAAAACAGAATCTTATCTTTTTGGCTATCTGTAAAAGCAACCTGTAGGTCCTGCTCTCACTTACAAAGGAAGGCCAAGTCAGTTTGTGAATGTGCATAGAGCAGAAGTTGGTGAGAGGTGGAAAGAATCTCACGGACCATGCCCTGTCCCTGACACAATTCTTCAAAAGGTGGCAGAGGTCTGGAAAACAACCATAGGTTGGGTTGTGAGTGTAAGAAGTAAGGCAGCTGTAAATGTCTCCAGTATTCCAGTCTAGGGATTTGTGGATATGTGTCCTTAATAAGATCAGATAGAGTTTTCCAGTGATCTGCTGTAAGTGCAAAAACTTGTGAGTGTGCATGATCCCTGGGGGTGTAACATTTGAAGCATAGCTAAGAAGGAGGAAGTGGCACACTGGGAAGAAGAGTGGAGATGGAGGTGGTGCATGCATGTAGGTAGGTGCAGTACGGCCAATGGCCACTAGATGCCCCCATGGTGCCCTAGAGATAGATGTAGCTGTGGCCTGGGGAGACTCTGTGTCCCTGGAGAGCTGATTTATAGGGGGCACCCAAGAGGGGAAAGGAGTTCAGTGCAGAACAGTACAGGAGAGCAGAAGTCTAAGACTATATGCAGAGTCTCCGGACTGATTCTAAAACATAGGCTGGTCCATGGGAAGGACAGGACCAGGCCTAGGACTATGTAGAGCTATAGAGATTCCCCAGTTTCCCCTGGAGGGGGAAACCACCGAGCTAGGACTGACAAGGATGGGATTCCGGAGAATAGTGGGAAGCTGTAAGGCTGACAATATTTGCCAGTGGGCCTCTGGCCGAAGTAAGTCGTGGACTCTGGGCTGCATCTGGGCTGTTCCTCTCTCTCTCTAATTTATATCGCTATGCAACTATCAAGAAATGTGCTGTCAATGTATGCTTCATACCATGTTCATTCTTCTTAGTAAAATCAAGAAAAGAATATCTGTGTGGACTGGTTCTTCTCCCTCCAACCTCTGAGAATGTGGTGTTCTACAGGAGTGTGATATTGGACTGTATCGTGGCTGTAACCATCCGGAGGAGGGTAGGTGTGCAAAAGGGCTATGCCCGACATAGGGTGCCGTTCATGGTGGCCTTTCTCCCTAAGGGGGAGGAAGCGCCGAATACCGCAGAGGCGGTGGAAGCCATGAGGCCCTGTGTGCGCAGTACTACACGTGTGGGAGTGTTTGCACGAGGCCAGAGCCGAGGCCCCTGACCGTGGGGTGCCTGGTGTCGTGTTGCATACACAGGGTTACACAGAGCCAACCCAAAGGGAACACACACGCAACACCCCAGGAGTGAACCCCGCCTACATGCTCCCTAAAGGGGGAAAAACTGTATGCATGCAAGAATCCCAAGCAGGAACACTAGCAGGAAACAGGTAATAACCTCTCTCTTTTGATATACATAATAAAAGTGGTATAACATGGAGCTATACTGTTTACACACTGATCACACCCTGTTAATACTATAGCATCATTAACTTTGCTAAAAAAAACTCCTGATCAGTTATATTAAGGATTGTTTTAGGATTCCTACAAGCTTTCTTTCTGGAGATATTACCAACAAAATGTTTTTACATACTGCTGAAAGTTACAAAATAAGAGGTCCTACAGGAGGATGAGGTCATTTTAGAACTTGTCAAGTAATGTGGCAAAAAAGCCACATGCATGGTTTAATCAGTGATAACTCATCCTTGTAGCAAAGACAGAAGGAGACAACTCTACTTAGAAGTAAGTTTGTAAACAGAGATTACAATGCACTGTAAAACACTTTTTAAAGCTAACTTTCTGTTGGATGGGAATTTGAAGCCCAGCTGAAGTAATAGTTTTTATTACTGTTCTGCAGTCAGTCTGTATTACAAGTATCCTTCAATTTTATTATTTTATATTAGTGTTTTATGACTATATCATCTGACCTGCGCCAGCAGAATGCTGAAGATTTGGACTGCTGCTCTCACACCGAGGGCATCAATCAGAATCTCCCGCGGTCCCAAACAACCCCTGCGGAGTGTGCCAATCAGCGAGCATTAGCGTCGTTGTTTGGAACATTGCCCAAGGTTCGTGTCAGACCACGAGAGATCTGGACCACGGTGCTCTGTGTGAGAGCAATGGTACAGATCTCCAGTGTGCTGCCAATTCAGGACAGCTTAATATTGTTGTAAAACATGAATACATAATAAAAAAACACATGGCATATTTTTTTATTCCCTGATTGCATAAAAACTATGACTTCACTTCAATTCCAATTCAATGTGTGCTACAGTAGCACAAAAACCTAGAACAAAAAAAACAAAAAGCTACAAAAAGTAGGTTTGGTGATTTATTGCCATGCTAAATTGTTGTTCTAATTATGTTTTTTTTTTTTTTTACACAGGGCTTAGAGTCACTGTTTAATAAAATACATAACTTAAAGTGTCCCTGCAGTAATCCCATATAAAATATTATCCATTGTCATATTTAAAGTGACACTAAACTAGGAAGTTAAACCTTAAAAATGCATGTAGGCACTTTTTTTTTTTAAACAAAATTTTTTTATTCTGTTATTGCGGACAACCCATGTCGGGTAAAGCCACAACTTACCAAGATATTCAATACAAATAATACGAGGTTTTCTCAAAACTACCTCGACAGTTGCACCAGAAATAACATCTTTCCAACTTTCACAACATTCCCGTGCTGGTTGCCCCCATATCCATATACTGTAATCTACTCGTATATATTATAACAATGCTCTATCCTATTTAGAAACCTCAGTTTGGGCTTCATAGCACCTCCAGTGGCCCCAACGTTCCCGACAATTTGTTTTTCAGATACCAGTCCGAGTATTGAAAGGGTTGCATTATGTCGGTCAGTTCCTGGTGGTCAAAGGTCACTGCAAGAAACTGTTTCCATCTCCGGAAGAATTTTTTAGATAGTGAATCGATATTATTTTCAGCATCCAACTTTTCCCTGAGGAACAACATTTTTAATTCCGTCACCACACTTGAGATAGACGGGACCGCTGTAGTATTCCAAGATCGCATGATGCAGCGTCTGGCTGCCAGCAGGCATATGTGCAGCCAGTCCCCTCCCCTGCGGGCCGGCCCATTTGGGACTCATGTAGGCACTTTAACTATTAACAAAAATGTATCTTATTTGTGTATCACTCGGCTGTAGATCCTCAAATCATCTCTGAATTGGTGCTGACACTGTCCTTCCTTCTGGAGGGTGGCTACTTTTGTTCCCCATGGTCCCTGTGTGTGTTGTAAAGTAGCCACCACTCCAAGCTCGCTCCCATGATGGACTAAAATCTCATATTTAGTTTACTAATTTGAGTTGAGATTGTAGTCCATCATGGGAGCGAGCTTGGAGCGGTGGCTACTCCACAACACACACAGGGACCATGGGGAACAAAAGTAGCCACCCTCCAGAAGGAAGGACAGTGTCAGCACCAATTCAGGGATGATTTGAGGATCTACAGTTAAGTGATACACAAATAAGATACATTGTTGTTAATAGTTAAGGTAATTGAATGTATTTTTAAGATTTAAGTCCTGAGTTTAGTGTCGCTTTAAGTCTCTTTTAGCCTGAGATATTCCATTTTTTTTGTATTCATTTGTTTAAAAACATTTAAACTGTGTCACTTGGACTTGGACTAATGAAACTTCATTAAATATTGAACCAAGGATTATGAATTGGGGTTTGCCAGCATGCTTTTTACTATTAGATTAGCTCTGCAATTAGTTTGTGCCAGCTGGCAGTGAAGAAATTGGTAAATCATTGCCGCACCAACGAAACTGTCTCTGAGGGAATTGAAAAAAGATTTAATTACTTTAATCGAGTTACACATTTGTTTTATATCGATTAAAGTTGACATTATTTATTTTGAACAAACAGATAATGTGCAGTCAGCATTTTCTTATTCAGTTTTATATACAAAGCATTGAAGTATTTAAAATTATGCTTTTCCTAAAATTAGATTATTTTTTATTGTGTAGTTAAAGTGACCCTGTCACTATAGTAATACTTTTATTTAAGCCATAGCTGTAAAAGAAATCTGTAAATACTTACCTGCTGCCTGCAGTGTTGAACTCTGCTCCGATGCTGAGAAATCTGCTGAAGTCCACACTGAAACCAACATTTCTGGGCGTTTCGATCTTCTGGGATCCCAACAGCTCTCAGTGGTTCCTCCTGCTGACCCCCAGATCACTACTGCATCCTGTAACAGATGTAGGTCAGAAGAAGGAACCAGTGAGAGCTTGGAGGGACCCAGGAGATTGACTCACCTGAAAGTATCGGTTTCACTTATTGGATATCTAATGCCACCTGGAAAACAGTGCAACTGTGCTAAAAGTTCACTTAATTTACCAGATTTAAATGTCTCCACATGGAACTTCTAAAATGGATTACTGCATTTTTTGTTCCTGTGTGGAACAGCTTTTCCATTTCAATGCATGTGGATGATGAAGCAACCTCCTACTCATGCGCATGCTCCTGTTTATAATGACTGCTTTAGAAAGAGGGCGGTGCTCATTATAAAGTAACAGATTTGCCAAAATTCAGAGTATAGAGATTCCAGCAATTATACTGATGGATCTAACAGTGCAGCTCTCTGCATAGCAGATCTGATATAACTGAAATTGGTAGTTACCTCCTTTTTCTTATTCTGACACATAATAGTTGGTCGTGAATCCATGAACGCAATATACTGCTCCACCAATAGTGTAGTCATTGATTCCAATGAGGTGCTAGGATAAGATGAGGCCAACACAACCTGGACCAGAGGCACAAGCAGAGGATAGTCTTCTTTTAAGAGGCTAACTTTGCTGCGCTTGTGATAATAGGACATTACATTCCGCATACATCTTCCTGTATCTACGAATCCATAAAAAACAAATATGTTATAGAGATTCTATGGTTCTTAAGAGCTGAACATGCCACCTAAAATTAACAACAAAAGAATGCAAGATTGGGTATATAGAGTAAAACATTGGGTATATCATAAAGAACTGCATTCCATTGTGTCAGTGTTTCCTTGGCTGGAATCCCTATGAATGCTCTTTTTATTGGGAAACCAGTCTAACAAAATGAACAAGTCTTGCCCAGTTCACATTATGCAAACCAAGAAGCCACGTCTTGTAAATCAACCACAGTAAACTGCACTATATGGGCTGATATATAATCCAAGTCAAGAACATTTAAAGTAATGTTTTATTACCCAAATGTTTATACACATAACACCAAAACTAATTTTATGGTGAACTTCACTCTTCATCAAAAGTTATCATCAGCCTTAAGATGACATTATATATAGATTTAAAGGTAGAATTTAAATGCTGGAAACTATAGCTGGGAGAGCGGGTCCAGGAGCCCATGTCACACCACTGGATTTACTAAAAGATACAAGAATCCAGTGGTTGATTTGTCCCAGCAGTATCACTCTCTAATCAAACATCAGTATTGAGTGGAATGACCCTTCACATCATTCAGTGTTCTGTATCTTTCAGATCACAATGACAAATCCTGTTTAAGTTTTGCCATTGACCAGCCATGCTTCTGTTATCAGAACTAGAAGTCCGGACATCTGACAAACATTCAGCTTCTACATACTGTATCGGTTAAATCAAAGACTCGATCCCAAGTCTGGTTCGGTTGATCAATCTGAACATATATGGCAGGTGATGTTTATATTTTTAGTTTCCTATTCTTTAGTGTTGAACTCCAAGTAGATATAAAATATGTAAATGAATGCAGCTCTTGCTTTACAAATACCTGCTTAAATGTTTTTTTTTGTAAGCAAGCTATGTAAATACCTGAATTTGACTAGATATTAGCCTCTTGAAGTTTCTGTGTAGCAGAGCTTAGACTAGGGGAGGGAAAAGCAGCACATGGAGCCAATCAGTTGTGCTGCAGTTTATTGTGCTAACATAGAGCATGTAGATAGGAAGCGAGAGCAGAGTAGGAAAAGTTGAGCACATCAGTCAGCTGCTTTTCCCTTCAGTGTACAATAGCAGGCTGCGTTGCAAGGGACAAGGCCTGGGAAGGTTAATTCAGTTCAACAAAGACAAATCAGGAGTTCTGCATGGCCAAACAGTTCTGTGCTGTGTTGCAGAGCTGTGTAACTCTTAGAACTGGATGGACAGATATACAAATCTCTTGGCAGGTAAAACAGCAGTCCAAGAAGCCTGGAAATATCATAAAGTCGCCAGTGTATATTGTACTTTATTTTCTTTATATTATCTGGTGCTACCGTTATCTTTAGGGGTACTCACACCGAAATGTGTGCATTTGATGTAACTCAATGCAAGTGCGTTCAATTGTGTTGGCATAGTACGTTGACATGTGTTGCTTTGCATTACAATGCTTTTTTTTGTTTGATATTTTGATTAAGCTATATAAAGGTATTTGTTCTGCCCTGCGTTGATGTCCATTGGTTGCGTTAACATATTCTAAACATGCGTTCAAAACTAGAAACACAACGCGCACATCTCCCCCCTATCATGCATCCTTGTAATCCACATTTGGTGCACAGATGACTCTCTTATGAAGTAATAGGCTCAAAAAATGTAGAACCAGCACACGATGATCTTCCAAAGAAATTCAAACTTTATTCCACTTGCATCTATACAACAACAACAGCTGACGTGTTTCTGCCTTACACAGCCTTGGTCACAGCTGGTTGTGATCCAACACCAACCACACTAAAATAGCACACCATGCAGGGTGGAGAGAAACGCTTAGGAACACCTGTATCTAGTAAACAGTCCATGTGATCACATTAAAAATAAAACAGAGGAAAAGAGAAGACTACACACTTCAGAATTATGGGTGAACATCATCAAACTCAAATATTATATAGTAATACCCATAATACCAGTGGGAACACTAACATCGAAATATTATGACAATCACAAATGGTATACAACTAGTCACCCACCGATAGTTAAGTCCCTGTGGAATCTAACATTACATATAAACAAAAGAACCACAGGGCTTCACATTGCAACAGTTTTCTGAGCACATCTCCTCTAAGAATAGGAAGCTCCGCTCCACCAAATGTGTGTTGCATTTAAAAAAATTTGAGTCTGCGCTACTTTTGTTTAAGCGGAGGGCAGCACACATTAAACCAACACACTGCTGTGTACTGCTCCCACTCACACCCATTCATTTTCAGATGTCCTTGCTTTGGCTTCCATTGGCATCTGGTGTGAATGGGGTCTTTTAGCACCCCTTATGTCTGTACAAGCTACAATACTTACTCTTGTTGTCTTTTAGGTGCTGTAGTGTTTGCTCATTGGAGAGCAGATCATCACAGTGCAGTGCTATCTCCCTTTCCAGGACGGAGCGTGTCTTGTTCAAAGATACTTGTGTTAGATATTCCATGCGAGCTGTGACAAGAATCCAAGGAACAAGAGCAAAAGGTTAGACAAGGAAAACCATTTTAGTGGAAAAAACACTGACAATATCAGTAATGCGTAATATCAGTTGACCAGTTGGGGTTGTTTTACATGTATGTGTGTCTGCTAGGCTTGGTAAAGTGGACCTATAGTTTTGCAGTCTTCATTAAATTAATTTAGATTGGTAATTTAGATTATCTTTATGCTAAAAAATAAGGTTTCCACCATGCACCAACCTAGCTATGTATGTAATTAATCAAGACTCCCCATGCTGTTCTGGAGAGGAGTACTTTCATGGGCTGATATCTCCTTTCTGCTTAAAAAAGCCAGCTAAACTGATACTGTTACATGAAAATAGGCCTCCCTGATATCTCCCATTTTCTGCACCAATACATTATATTTAAAATACTGCATGAAGTAGTTGTTTTCTCACTTCTTGTTTTGTGTATTTCATTTAACTTGAAAGGAGAGTATTTTATTACCAGTGTATGTTTATTGTGAGAGGGCTAGAAAAGTAATTATAAAAAGATCCACTGTTATAATACCGTTGTGGTGCCTGAGAAAATACTTTTCTGCTATTTACTCATACTAACCACATTGTAACTCTTTTCTGCTAGCAGTATGATCTATAAATTCAGTCTTAAAAGAGAACTATGGGGTAACCGGGAGGACACTATATACCGAGATCGCCGCAGCTGGGACGGTTTCCAACAATACTGTCGAGATCCACCCAGCTGTGTGAGTGGCAGCTGGCTCTGCCTATCTAGAGGCAGAGCCAGCTGGTCCCGTCCCCTCCCCGTCCGTTCCTCTTCTTAGCGCTGGAGGATCAGAGAGGGGAGAGGGGAATCCCTGCGGGGAGCGGTGACTGACAGTCACCGCTCTCTGCAGGAAGATGTTTAGAAAGTGAGTGAGCGACGGGATGCGTTCGCTCACTTCCCGATCTTTAGAGCCGACCTGTGACAGTTTAATTGCCACAGGTCGGCTCGAATTATGAGGTTGAGTGAAAATCACTCACCTCATAGTTCTTTAAATATTACTTTGTGAAAAATGTATAAATTCTCAATTTCCTGGACTACTCACCCTTTGTGTTGGACAGTTGCAGCTTCCAAGCTAACACTCTTAAGGCAGTTGGTATAGGCTGATTGAAGAGGACATGTAGTTTTACTTTTAGGGTGGGTCTTTTTTCAAGAATACTGACCTACAGAAAAAAAAATCTCAGCATAAAACAAGAAAACAAGGCAACAGTGAAGCTGAAAAAACATGCTAGAGGTTCCATCTTATAAACAAGAAAAGCTTGTGCACAAATGTATGTTCCTGGATGCTGGTGATGAAGAGAAAAGACCACCTAAGAATTATTTTGAATATTTCTTCAATATCTTTGAAAATAGGGAGTCTTTATAAATCTAATATTTTTAAATTATACTTTTTATTTTTAAAGTATATGTTTTTATTTAACTTTTACTATTCATTTTGTGAAGTAGTTCACTAACCAGTCTGGCCAACTCTGCACATGGTCCGGCTTCAGTGCAGCATTGGGTCTTTATTAGAGCTCACAATTAATACAAAGGTACATGCAGTGTGCTAATCTCTATTTCTTTGTTCATACAGGTAACAGGTAAGTGAACAGGCAGAAGACAATCACACTTGACCAACCAATCCATCCTGAATATGGGAAGCCACCAGGTCAGATTGGCTCCTAGGAATGCTCCCATCCTGCTGTTCCAGAGCAACATAACTGTATATATTTTCTTCCAGACAAGAACTGATGTGTCCAGTTAATTTATTATAAGTGACACCTGGAAGAGAAAATAGTAGATACCAATTTTGAAACGTGAAGCAAGACTTGAAGTACATGAGGGAATAATCAAGACTAAAAGAAAGTTTTGAACTCTAGGGAAGCTTAAGTGTTTTTCCCACAGGCACTTGTCTCATATCATATTGTGAACACCATGTCAACCGCATATTTATCACTGCTCCCACACACGCCTTCTTCCATTATACAATATCTCTACCATGACAGTGATAGTTTGGACTTGGATAATTTTGTTTCAGACTTTTTGGGGGGGGCTGTAGAGCAGGACAGAAAGATTGAAGTCACCACTGCTAACGTAATCAGGGGTTCGGGGGAAAACTGAAGTTTAAAAGTTGCTGGCCTATCAAATGCCCTACCTCACACATTCAGTCTCATCTTCTGAGTGAGCAGTATATGAAGTCAGGCAATTCTACATTGTAAAGCGCTGCGCAAACTGTTGGCGCTATATAAATACTATGTAATAATAATAATAATAATACTCAGGAAATAACTCTCAGACTTCTGAGATCTCCTGACACCCCAGTTAAAGTGTCAGGATAGGACACGATAAATCAAAGTGGCACTAAACTCAGAAATTAAATCTTAAAAATGCTTTCAAGTACCCTAACTATTAACAAAAATGTATCTTATTCATTTATCACTTGGCTGTAGATCATGAAATCATCTCTGAATTGGTGCTGACACTGTCCTTCCTTCTGGAGGTTGGCTACTTTTGTTCCCCATGGTCCCTGTGTGTTGTAAAGTAGCCATCCCTCAACACACATTCCCATAATGCACTACAATCTCAATACAAATTATTAAACAAAACGTGAGATTGTAGTCTATCACAGGAGAGAGCTTGGAGCGGTGGCTACTTTACAACACACGCAGGGACAATAGGGAACAAAAGTAGCCACCCTCTAGGAGGAAGGACAGTGTCACCACCAATTCAAAGATGATTTGAGGATCTACAGCTGAGTAATACACAAATAAAATACATTTTGTTGATAGTTGAGGTCCTTGAATGCATTTCTAAGTTTTAACTCCTGAGTTTAGTGTAAAATGAAAGGAGAACTATGGGGTAAGTGAATTACACTCATCCCCATAGTTAGAGCCGAATGAAACTGTCACACGTTGGCTCTATTGATCGGGAAGTGAGCAAAAATCCCAATCATCTCCCTGCAGACTGACTGTCATTCACCACTGCTTGCAGGGATTCCCCCCTCCCCTCTCCGATCCTCCAGCACTGACTGGAGGAACGTACAGGGTAGGGGGCGGACATAGCTGGTTCTGCCTCTAGATAGGCAGAGCCCACTGTCAATCAGCAGCGGGGTGGATCTCGACAGCCTTCTCTGGATCTGTCCCGGCTGCGTCACTCAGCATACAGCGGTCAATGGTACATTGACAATCTGCTATTTACCAGATAGGTTAGAGTGCCTGCGTTTTTGGGTTAATACCAGCTCCAGAGAGTTATTTAGCCTTGGTGAATATTATTTTAATAAAATTACATTTATTGCACTTAGGCCTTCACATTGTGAGCAGCCATGCTAATACGTAAAAGGTTTATTCCATAGAAGATGTAGCTTCATATAACAGGGCTGGTTTTCCATTGCCGTAGGATATGACCTGGCATATAGCAAGCAGATGCTGTTCACTATACTCATCAACGCCATCTGGGGTGCTAGGGCCACATCTGACTGGTTATACGCCAGGTCAAACTTTTATAAATGAACTCCAAAGGCCCATTTCCCACACTGTGAATAAACATTGAGAGCTGACTTGGTTTTGATAAATGCCTGTGTTAATTTATAGTACCTGAATGTAGAGCTTTGGCTGCTTTTTCCAAGACAAAAATCTTTTCTGATTCTGACAGGTCATTGAAGAACCTAATATTATTCTCATTCATCTGCTGCAGGACAGCATCGTATAATTTTTCGGTGAACTCCTTCCACTCCTGTTCAGCCAGAGATAATGTATTAATTAAAGCTGAGCAAACAGTTATATATACAGGGTAAATATACATATTTAAACTATCTTGCCTGCCAACAGATTTGTAATTCTTTCCAAACATCTGTGCCAGACAATACAGCCAGGAGGGAAACGCCACTTACTCTTTAGAGTTAAAGTAGAACTGAAGCCAGAACTTTTTAGTTTTAGATAGAGTAAGGGAGGGTTATAACCCCTGTCAACGTTTTTGCCATCTGTGTTCCATTGGTGAGATAAAACATTGGCGGTGCGTTCCGGCCCGATTTTGCCTAGAAAGCACTGCCACTTTTTAGTGGGGCAGGAGGGGGCATGACGGGCCATTCAAGTGAATGGCGCCGTAGCCACGCCCCACCGGCCGCAATGCGATTTGCCGCGCGGGATCGCAAGGCACATTGTGCCTGCGGTCCGGTGCGATCAAAATGCTGCAAGCACTATTTTGATCGCACCACTATTTTGATCGCACTGCCCCACTAAAAAGTGAGCCGAACGCACTGCATCTAATGTGACTGAGCCCAGTGGTTCTGACCGTGCTGACCAAAGAAGCGCTTCTCAAGGGTCAGCATGGTCATGTTATTGTGGTGACCAATGAGTGCTCACCATTTGTGAGCAAAATGTGAAATACCGAGCGTAGGGCTGCGCTGCTGTGTACGGAGTACAGATACTTCTCCAGCAGTTGCGGAGGGGAAGTAGTAGTGTTCGGTGAAAGGTAAGTGCAGTGGTGGGGGGAAAGGGAGCAGATTGGTGTTGGTAGTTAGATTTTCAGATATGCAGTGGTAGTTAGGTTTTTTCAAATTCGCCCGGGAAAGTGGAATTACCCTTTAAAGTGACACTAAAGTCAGGAGTTAAAGGAGAACTATGAGGTGAGTGATTTCCACTCATCCTCATAGTTAGAGCCGACGTGTGAAAAAGAAGCTGTCACAGGTCAGCTCTATCAAAGGGAAGTGAGCAGAAACCGATCCGCTCACTTCCCGATCGTCTCCCTGCAGTGAGCAGTGTCGGTCACCGCTCCCCGCAGGGATTCCCCACTCCGATCCCCCAGCACTGAGTGGGGGCAGGCACAGCTGGCTCTGCCTCTAGATAGGCAGATCCAGCTGTCACTCATGCAGCTGGGTGGATCTTGACAGTATTGTCGGGATCCGTCCCGGCTGCGGCGCTTTCAGTATATCGCGGGCAGTAGCCCGCGATCTACTGAGCTTTGGGTCACAGGAGGAGGTTAGTATGTGTATGTATGTCCTCCCATGACCCTAAAGAGAACTATGGGGAAAACACTTACCCCATAGTTCTCTTTTAAACCCTACAAATGGAATTCAAATACCTTAACTATTATCAAAAATGTATCTTATTTGTGTATCACTCGGCTGTAGATCCTCCAATTATCTCTGCATTGGTGCTTACACTGTCCTTCTTTCTGGAGGGTGGCTACTTTTGTTCCTCATGGTCCCTGTGTGTGTTGTAAAGTAGCCACCGCACCCAGCTCACTCCTGTGATGGACTACAATCTCAATACAAATTGGTAAACTAAATGTGAGATCGTAGTCTATCACCGAAGGTGACCGAAGGTAATAGTTAAGGTACTTGAATGTATTTTTAGAGTGTAACTCCTGAGTTTAGTGTCACTTTAAGGCAGATGTAAAAATGTAAATGTTGCTGTAGCTGAAATGATTTACCTGCTGGTTTTGAATCTGTAACCTGGTTTTCTCCAGCCATGGGAGACTTGCTGAGCTTCCTGCCATGTCTCTCCCTGATTTGTATATTCATAAGACGGCAGGTCAGTTGCTACAACAAACTATGCAAATATGCACTGAGCAGAATGCAATACAGGACCGGCTCAGGATTATTACGTGGGAAGGACACACAACAGGTTAACTCTACATACCAAAAGACAGCAAAGGAGAAAGGAACTATATGTGTCTTAAAATGTGTTTTAGGAGCTTCCTTACAGATCAACAGGAAAGCTGGTCATACAATTGGAGATTTTTAAATCAGAACATTCGATGCCATCAGAGTTTTGCTGATTGTTGTTCGAAATTTTGTTCACAAATTTTTTTATATCCTGCTCCTTCCATTTTTTTTTCATCACTGCGGTAAAAATCAATTGTTGATTTGACCCCACATCAGAAAATATAATGAATGTGCTGAAGAGTTTTTATTTTTTTTTGAGTGAATATCTACGGTGTATGGTCAGCTTAAGTGTACATAATGTCCATTTAAGTACCTTAGGGACCCAATGTATTACAGTGTCAGCACTGCAAAACATTTTTATTTTGCATTCAGACACTCATGCTTCAACTATCATTTCCAAGATCAGCAGTAAAAATTATTAAAGGGTATTATTAAAGGGTATGGTAAAAAACTAAAAAGAAATCTGTATTTCTATACTGAAATTCTGTAATTTCTATCCCACCCATATCCATCTAGAAGTTTATAAATGTACTTATTGAAGATGCCCATAGGGTGTATGTCCTTAATGCACTGGCACAATATGAATTGTGCCAGTGCATAATTGTGCCCTGTGAATATGCACTTTCTTGTGTCACAAATCTCATAGAGTGCGCCTTCTGAACTACTACTCAACTTCTGAACAATGTGACAATATCATTGCTTGCTGGAAGCACACTGGGAATCAAGGAAGTTGTTGAAAGTGATGGGCAGACAGAAGGCAGAATTCACTACATAAAAGGGATTTTTTCATGTAAGCTTTGATACAAACTCTACTATGTATTCCTATCACACTGCTGATGTTATAACAGGATAGTATATCCTGAGACTCTACAAACCCTTTAAAGACTGTAGGGCGATACGGAAAATTCTAATAATTGACAGTGTGCCACAAATCCCTCTGTGGGCTGTGGCAGCACCTGCACTAACGGTTAAAAAACAGTTGTTTAGCAACATATTTCCTCTTCGGACAAGTTATCGATGAAGGTAAAGGAGTCATTGTTTGGTTTCAGGACCACAAAACAGGTTGTCAGACAGACAGAGAGGCATCATTGTCTTGGTTCCAAATAATATCAAAATTATCCTGAAGATTTTTACGTTAATTTGAAAAAGGTTCTTTACAGTAAAAGTGGTTTAATTAGTATTAATGGTATATTTTGAAATGAATGCATGCTAAGCCACATTTTAACTAATTATATTAATAAAATGGCACAAACCCTTGATGTATGAACTACTTACTGCCACCAGCTCCAGGTCTCACAGTGCAGCTTCCCCAAACTATTTGCATCTATGGGCATAAGAAGATGTGTCCATGGTGAAATCAGGGAGTGCTCATGCATGGGTGGCTCCATGGGACCCTGTAAAAGGAACAAAGGAAGAGTGCATTTTAGAAGATGCAATGCAAAGCAGCTACAGGCTTACACAGAATAGCACACAGAAAACAGGACTGAGGTCTGCAGCACTATTTTAATTGCACATTTGAGGGTTTCATAACGCTTTAAGAATGTTTTACCCCATTAGGTAGTAATGGGAAAACAGTAATTTAATTTAAAAATAATGTAAAAAATTACTTTCTTGCAACTGTTAATATTGAAGGTTTTTACTCCCCGTTGCATAGCCAATAGGCTGACACCCCTATCCCTTGGCTGAGATTTGCAGCTTCCTGTGTCACCTCTCCACCTCCACTCTTCTCACCCGAAAATGAAGAATCAGTGTTAGGCCAAAGAGCAGGCAGGTGACCCAGAAAACTGTAAAGTTTAATAGGAAGGGGTGTCATCCTTCTATACCTACACTGTGGTGCATACAGGTGTGTCTGATGATTACACACTCTCAGCATCACTCTGTGTGGAACTTTTCTAGCTCGCAGGACAACAATCTTAGCACCAGCAGACTTAGAGTGATCTGTATCACTCACTGTAACGTCCAGAAGTAGAATTCCTAATTTCTACTTAGAGCATTTAGAGATTTATTGAGTTCTATTCACCTGAACTGCAAAGCCAGCTTGCTCTTAGACCAATTCTTCCAGCCTGTCTCCTCCTCTACTGCAGCGGTCTACGATCCCGTAAATCATCACGTTCTATACACAGTGCATTAGACCCAAGGATGCTGAGAAATATTCCAGTGCTGCAGCGTAGGGGAAGACAGGCTTCAGAGACCGGAGAAGCAGGGATCCAGCTCAGCAGTTCGGGTGAGTATAACTTTTTTTTTAGCACCTAGACAGAAATGAGCATTTAACCCTTGCAGGGCAAGGTTATTCCCACTGCAAGGGTTAATGCATGTTTTGCCCAGAGTTCTTTGTAAAAGTCAAATCTGGTTTTGCAAGAGTCATTGGCTCTCTTAATGTGACTCTTATTGATCTTTAGTAGCTGTGATGGTAAAACAACAGTATTCAGATGCTAATTCAGCAGCTTTTTGTTGACCCTAGAAAGGGCATTGCAAAACTAATTCCACCTAATCAAAGGTTCTGAGAGGAGTGTTGTAGGTGTGCTGGAGTGTTCTATTATGCCCAGTGGACACACACGTAATACCAACTATCCCGCTTCTATCTACAGTATATTTACATATGACAAGGTTTCATGAACAGAAAACCAGCAAATTATTTAGCAGAATGAAATAATGATTTGCTGTGTACCAAATACAGAGCTTGTAAATTAGGCGTGTTTGGCGTCTAACAAATTGATATCTTCTTATACCCATTAGGTAGATCGTGATCTACCAGTAGCTCTCAAAGCTGATAATGGTAGATCACGAAAGGTGTGAATGGCGGCCCCTTTATTCCATTTTGGTATATTTATTTAGCTGTGCACACATGATTACCTATCAGCCTGAGTCTGCTGAGCCAAGCTCCCTGACACCTTTCTGGTGGATACTGGTGGTTGAAGTGCTATGTATTACATCAAAGAATATTAGTTTACACAGCCTGTTGCACTACTCTGTTTGCAAAATACAGCAAGGTGAGCCAGGAGAGAGAGCTGGGAGAGACAGACAGGGGAGAGAGCAAGGAGAGACAGCCAGAGGAGAGAGAGAGAGAGGAGAGACAGCCAGGGGAGAGAGGAGAAACAGCCAGGAGGATGAGCAAGGAGAGACAACCAGGAGAGAGAGCAAGGAGAGAGAGCTAGGAGAGAGAGCTAGGAGAGACAGCCAGGAGAGAGAGCAAGGAGAGACAGCCAGGAAAGAGAAAGAGGAGAGACAGCCAGGGGAGAGAGCAAGGAGAGACAGCCAGGAAAGGGAAAGAGGAGAGACAGCCAGGGGAGAGAGCAAGGAGAGACAGCCAAGAGAGCGAAGAGAGACAGTCAGGAGAGAAAACGAGGAATGACAGCCAGGAGAGAGAGAGCGAGGAGAGACAGCCAGGAGAGAGAGAGCGAGGGAGGTTTTTTTTCGTTGGTAGATCTCATGTAGCTCGCCATTTGAAAAGTAGATCTTAACACAAAAATTGTGGGCACCTCTGCATTAGTGTATCTACTTAGGGAGGCACGGTGTTCAGTACTATTCCTTGAAGACATTGTGACTTTAACTGAGTTTAGCTGTTTGCTTTGTGTTCAGAATTACTATATCGGGAATGTAAATAAGAAAAGGTTAATAGGCTGAGGAGAGGGGGAGGTGGTGATCTCATCATGTAGTCCAGCAGGGCTGACAATTGTGCTTGGGATTATCAGTGCAGCAGAGGCAGTGTTGTCAGTCACTATAGAAAGTTAGGAGCTCACTAGTTTTCTGTCAGGACCAGCAGGCATTGTTCTGTAATAAAGAGACAAAACATGGGGAAATATGAACATATTAAAGACATGCACTGAATATGAACCCCCCCCCACCCCCCTCCAAACAAACACTTTAAAATATTCCCAGGGTAAACCTTGAAAAATTGGGATTGTTCTTGGAATTCAGGAACAGTTGGCAAGTGTGGATATCTATTTTATATGCCTTATACACCATGTGGTCTTGGATAGGCCTTCAGCATCGGTCAGTTTTCTGTTGAGGTTGAAAAACCCCTTTAAATATGTATTTTACTATACCCTGATATTAATTCACTCTGTGCAAATAATTTAATTTATTTAAAGGGAATAAAATCTTTACCTGGCAACAGCTTTGCTAAACTCATTAAACAGACTGCAAACGCAACTGGTTTTCATGATTGCTGAGAGCGATAACGGTGAGCAGAACCGAATGATCAGTAAAGGAAGACAGTTGTTCCAAGTTTTAGCAGCGCTGCTCTGTAGATTAAATCTATCCACGTACTTGTGTTTGTCGATGCTGAGAGCAGAAATATGCTCCAGGCACCCAAACTTGACAGAACATTAATATTTTTTGCCTGCGGGCTGGTTATAAATTATACCTGAAAATTGAATATGAGGCAGATATGTAGGAGCCTGGGACCTGGAGAAGAAAACTATGTTCACTTATTACCTTCCAGCAGGCCTACAGACAATCATTCCTAATAGAACTACTGAACTCAGTCTGACCGAATGCCAATCACAGGAAAAGATATGGATTTATGAGTGTCTGCCATCTGACAGAGCCAAACAAAATTAAGGGCCCATTTACACTAGCCTGCCCACTAAAATGAGGCGTTCATTTGTATTTTTATTTGTCTTTTTAAAGTGACACTAAACTCAGAAGTTAAATCTTAAAAATACATTCAAGTACCTTCACAAAAATGTACCTTGTTTGTGTATCACTCGGCTGTAGATCCTCAAATCATCTCTGAATTGGTGCTGACACTGTTCTCCTTCTGGAGGGTGCCTACTTTTGTTCCCCATGGTTCCTGTGTGTGTTGTAAAGTAACCACCACTTATAGCTC